ACAGAAAGGACCTTATCCCTCCTTTCAGGGAGTTGTAGAGAGGGATAAGGTCCCTCCTGTCCTTCCTTTTCTCTCCCAGGTAACAAGCAGCAGAACAGGAGCAAATGGCCTCAGGTTATGCTATGAATGTTTTAAATTGGACATTAGGAAAAATTTCTGCACTCAAAAGGTTGCCAAGTCCTGGCACAGGCTCCAGGGAAGTGGTGGAGTCATCATGCCTAGAGGTATGTAAAAGATGTGTAGATTTGGCACTTGGCACATGGTTTACTGGTGGACTTGGCAGTGCTGTGGTTGTGGTTGAATTCAATAATCGAAGAGGTCTTTTCCAACTTAAATAAATCTATAATTCTATAATTAGAGAAAAGGAGGGAGACATTTTGTACTGCTCAGATTCATGGAGTACAGGGCTTTCTTTGATCAGAGGATGCCATTGTTCAAGGAGAATCTCTTTGGTCAGCTCTACGTAAAGCATCCTGTCAAACACATCATAAAGATAAAAGGCAATTTTAGTCTCAATTGACTTCTCTACTGCAGAAGCTCAACCTAGATAAAGACCAACAACAAGCTAAAATTGATGGAGAATAGCCATAATTACTTTGCTCAGTATTTCCTGGGGGTTTTTGTTTGTTTTTTTATGCGGTTGGTTGTTTGTTTTAATTATCTCAAAGTTTTCTCTTGGCAGAAAGGAAAGGAGAGAGGGAGCAAATGAAATAAATATTCTGTTTCTAAGCCTCATGGTTACAATTCCCACATTTCAAACTATATAATTACTTCTTTTTCTCAATGTCTGGGCCTGGTCAAATGCCACTATCTCACCTGGAGAAAATGAAAGTTAGTGCAAGGCACACAGTAATTTGTTTGGAAGCTTCCCTGGCGCACTGCATTCCCTTTCATGGGAGAGATTGTGAGTACAGAGAAAATTATGCATTTTTTATCTTGATCAGAGAGCAGAAGAGTGCAGTCACAGTGAATAATATCCATGTAATCAAAAAGGTGATGACATTTGTCCCTTCCCAAAGCTACCCACAAGCAGGCTGAAGGAAGCTGCCTGTCTTACCAGAGTCACTCACAGTTTGTAGTTGTCAGTCCAACCTGAATTTACAAGGCAGAGCCGATGCTCATGTGACTGCACCACTGAAATAAGAACTTGTATAGTGTTAAAAAGAGTTACTTAAAACAATATAATATAAAAAACTCCAATTGTCTTTTTTTTCATTTTCTCTGTAATGCTCCTTAAAATGCAGCTTTGTAGAATACCATCATATCATCAGCTGACCACAGAATATATTCATATTATTAGCTCATCTGTAGTCTCATCTGCTGTATCTCATAAACTGTTCGGGGAAAGGGCTGCAATTTTGTTATTGTTATTCCTTTAACATTAGAATCTCACACTGCAGGACAGCAAATAAATAGTTCCTGGAGTGTTTGGTTAAAAATAGCACAGGCTGTGATTTCTTTGCAGATATTAGGAGGAGTTCATAAGCTTTTCACTAAGCAAAAGATATCCCAAAGTCAGCTAAAATATTACTTCAAATAAATACATTCAAATAAATGTTAATTGGCATTTTTTAGTCTAATTATTTAAATGTATTAATACAGTTTTAAATAGCCTGTATCAGAAATTCCCAATGAAAACTTCTTAATTTTTCCACCAAGTCATTTATTTAAGAATATCCAAAGAAAACAATTTGGTTCAGGACAGCAAACTTGAGTTTTAATTCTATAGCTTTTAGAGGCATTTTGAGTCACTGCAAAACTAAAATGTATCCTTCTGCTGCAGCTTACTGCTCTGTGGAAGCCATAATGATCAAGAAAAAAATTTGTATTTCTAGTAAGAAAGAAAGGAGGGAATAATGAAAGATGCTGGAATAGGGTCACTCTCACCTCTTCAACTATGTGATATTAAAACTACTTAGGAGAAGTATCCATGTCATGGCACCTTCACACTTTCACAAAGGTAATAAATCCAAATAAAACTGTCCCGTATTTAAGTTTCTTTGAATTTAGACAAGTTTGGGAATGCCTCTTTCTTAGCTTGCTGCAGACATCAGTTTGGACCTGGTGGCATCAAGAAATTAGGCCTTACCCAGGTCTGGTGCTCTTACTGACTATCAAGGTCCTCAATTAAATATTGAACAGTACTAGATGCAGGACAGAATCCCATTCAGTGCATCCTTCCAGTAGACATGGTACTATTCATATGCATTTCCTGACTTTTCCATGAAGCTTTATCAAGCTTCAGGTATCCCACATTTCCACAGAATTTGTAAGACAGTGTCAAAGCTACAATAAAGAGCAGTAAATTACGTTAACAGATTCTCTCTTGAAAACAGACCTCCAGCAATATCATCAAACAGAACTAACTTTGACATTATTTGGTGAGTACTGACTCTGCTTTCTTTCCAGTGCTTACAATCTGATTATTTGTAGCATATTCTGAGAAGTGCAATCAGGCTGGCTGATTTATAGCCCTGCAACTTCTCTTACCTTCTGAAGACAAGGAAATGTTTGATCTTTTCCCATCCTCCACAGGTTTTCATAGATAATTGCTAATAGCTCTGAGGTTGATACTGTTCCCCTAAGTGCCCTAGGATGAATCAGCTCAGCCAGTTTGAAAATATCGTGTTTATCTAGCTATGTTCTAACTTCTTCCTAGCCTAGACAGAAATCTTCCCTGAACACCAGTGGTGTTGAATGCATTGGCCATTTTCATTGACAATAAAAGCCCAAAAAGCCATCAATTTTCCCATCTGCCAGAGAGCTTTCCTGATATATTGCAGTTCTGAGAAACCACCAGTTTCCTTTTTCCTCATTATACTACTAGAAATACAACATTTTTTCTTTACTACTTATATTTGCTATGTGTATAAATTTTAAGTGAAAAGGATGTCAGATGAGCATCACAGATTCACAAGGCTCTGAGCCTCTCCAAGAGCTACACGAACCCAAAATCTTCAGTTTTGCCTCCCTACATTTTCTGTATTTTCCTTTATAGCCAGATCTTCCCCTGTATGCTTGAGCAGGTGCAAGCACCACTACAAAAATGGAGCCTGAGGAAGGCATGAGAAATAACAGAAGCAATGAAGAATATGAGAGAGCAATGAAGGATATGTGTGTGAGGGGATGTCTCCAAGACACCGCTTAAAGCTCAGCAGCCTGACTGGAGGTGACATCACACAGCCCAAGCTGAGAGAGTTGGCACTTATTTCATGAGTGGGAGCGGGGCTTCTCTCACATCTGCTCTCAGCTTCCTTGGTCTTCTGTGGCAGCATCAGCCAGGCTTTAAAAAGGCTTTATTAGAAGATGAGCTTAAGTAGGTAACTTTTAAAAAAGATCAGGCAGGAACAGAAATGCAAAGGCTCTGAAAAGCCCAGCTCCCCCATCTCGGTGCTGTGAGCTTCTCTGTGACATCCTGCTGCTGCCATGGCTCACGTGCTGGGCTCTTATCCCTTGGGCATTTCTGCACAATGGAATAGAAGCCACCCACAAGCAGTTCCTGTCACGGGAAGGCCCCAATAACCTGCCCACATATGAGGTGCAGGGTGCTCTGAGGCACCCTGTGCTTCTCCTCTTGCACACCTGCACCAGTGGTGTTTCTGCCCCTGGTTCTGGCTTGTGCCACTCCCATGGGTTCAGACAGCTCAGCCTGCTCCAGCTGCATAAGGGCTGTCCTGGCCATGATTCCAGCCCAGGCTCATTTATGAGCTTCCCTCTGGAAGGATATCTGGGGAAGCATGTGGCCATCAGGAGTGACAGCATCACAGAGCAGAGACGTTAATGCTTGCAATGCTACTGATGTTTCCAGCTTCATTTCTAAGCAGCAATGACAGCTCCAACATCCCCAAATCACAGTGGTTTCAGCTGTGCCCTATCTCCCCATGCACACATGCAAATCCACACAGACTTTGACATCAGTTTCTACCAGGGCACAGTTTTCTGTCACATAAAATGTCAGGATGTGATCTTCCATATTTCACTAGTGCTATCCTGCCATTTAATTTAATAACAGCTAAATATCAAGTGGTTACTATTTTGATACTCTGTTCCATCAGCCATTGAATTAGAAATAATGAGACAAATCTAAAGTTGTGATTCATGGTGAACTGCCCAAACTAATCTCAATCACATAGCAGATGACATTGAGTGATAACTGATTTAACAGATGATCATCTGTTCAGCTGTCCTGTCCTCTCTTGCAGAAACAGGAACCTTAATGAAGGACAAGTTCACTTATGCTTTACGAGATTTTTCCAAAACAATATAAATACTTAACATGGGAAACAATTCTTTCCTTTCCGCTAATTATAGACTCTTTAATTTTATTTGACTAGTATTTGTTGCTTCAGAAAGCTGAGACGCTGAGGTGTTTAAAAAGCATCTTTGGCATTTTCCATTAACATTTTTCAATTTATCATCTCAAACCAAAGCAGGTTCCTCACCCAAACTGTCCCTTGGGAAGTTCCTTGCACCTGGTGTAGCAGCTGCCCATTGCTGATCCTAAAAGAAGTCATGCATGGGAGCAAACAGTTGCTAGAAAAGACTTTCCAAATATTGACTTGTCAGACTTTTAAAATGCTGGAAGTGTGTGCCCCCAAAAAAAATCCTCTCTCTGTATCTTCACTCTTCACCAAGTTTCAGCCTGCACGTTTTCACTGCTGGACTCAGGTATTCTCTGCCACGTTTAAAGATGCCTTACATATGTTCTGCTGCATCAAATCTAGACCTTCTCAGTAAGCTGTAAGTCATCTATAAAAAAAATCAGTTGTTAATTTTTCCTTCATATCTTTTATTAGTGACCATCAACCAAAAAGTTGACTGAAATGTTGTTTTTGATGATAGTGACATCAAGAGGCAGAATTTTTCAGGTATGTTTTTCCATTTGGCTTTTGGAAACAGGATAATGAATTAATTAATTATCAGAGCTAATGAATGAATTTTTGGAGTCTGGCAGTCAATTTTGTCATTTGCTCACATATTTACACCTGCCAGGCCAGACAGCAACTGCAAGATGCCTTTATAGCTGAGAATGATGGAGTCTTAGAGATCAAAAGAATTTTTACCACAAAAAAAGATCACCTTTGTAAGCAGGTAACAGAGTCTAAATAAAATTACCTACTGTAGACAAAAGGTGGCTTTTGAACTAGAAATTCAAATCCAATACAAAAAGCATTATATGGTCTCAATAGATACATTCAGAAAAATCAGAAAGATGTTTCATAGATGGTCTGTGACACACTGCGCATGTCCAGCCTAGCGTGGGATGGCACAGACGCTGTAGGGGTGGGGCTGCAGAGTGCCCCCAAAAATGGGCTCAGTGTTGATCTTGGTCACTCCCTCGGGGAGGCGGAAGGTGAACGCCCGCAGCAGGCTGGCAAAGAAAATGAAGAGCTCGGTCCTGGCTAAGTGCTCCCCCAAACACACCCGGTGCCCTGCAGAGGAAAGAGGGGAAGGACAGTGAGGAAATAAACCCGGCCTCCAACAGCAACAGTTGTCATCCTCACGCAGTGCAAAGGAATTTTTGCCAAGTCCAGAATTTCTGTTGGACTTAGTGCAATCAATGACACAAAGCTTCATTGATGTATTTCTTCCTTCAGAGAATGTTGTCTGCAGCTATGGATAACCTATGTAACCCTTCTGCTATGTATCCCTTCTGCTCCTTTCAATAATCTCTAAAGCCTCATCTTCATTTGACTGACAACTTTAAAGGAATTCATTCCACCATGTAAATGAAGAATAAGGACCTACTTTTCCTGGGAGATGTCATGTTGTAGTGTTGAATGCATAAAGAATCAAGAGGACTGCTTAAAAGTGCTTTCCATACATATGTCTGGTATGAAATGAGTGCCTGAAATCAATAGCCAGAGAATGTCCTTCCAAAAATAGGGCAAGTTAGGTATATATGTTTGTCAGGACACCTCTGATTTTCATGTTATTATTTGTTCAGTAGAACATATGTTACTGAAAATAATCGTTGTTTTAAGCACTATTTTCCAGAAAATTTTAGAATAGACAGCCAATAGGTTTTTAATTGACATCTTCATTCTACAGTCCCCATCCAAACTGTTGATGTTTGTGCTGTAGCCCACTTACCTATCGAGAATGGTAAGAAGGCGTCTTGGGCCACAAAGTTTCCATCCTTATCCAAAAAGTGACCAGGGTTGAACTGTCGAGGTGTTTCCCAGTGCTCTGGGTCATACAAAGATGAAGCAATATTTGGAAGAACTATGGTGCCCTGAAAGGACAAAAACATTCATTCTGTTCCTTGTTGGCATTCAGACCATGACCCAAAGGCATCCACTCCCCCTTCTATTGAGGAGAATGCCCAGGCACAAACAGATTTTAATCCACACCGTGCTCTACTGATGCAGGAAAAGCCTGTAGCAACTGAGAAACTGTGTCTGTACCTTTTTGAGGGGAAAGCCAAGCAAGGTTGTGTTCCTCACACACACCCTGGGCATGCCAGTTGAAATAATGTTGCTGAAGCGCTGGATCTCATGAATCACAGCATTTGTGTAGGGCAGCTCTCTCCGATCCTCGTAGCAGATTAACTTGGATGGACCCAGAACAGCATCCAGCTCCTTCTGCACTTTCTCTGTGGAAAGTGTTCAGTTTCAGGCAGAAAAACATATCAAGTATTTTCAGTAATTTCATTTTGAAGACACTTAGAACTATGAGAACACCACAATTTATTTAGAAAAGTAAGTAAAATTTTATGAATAAAAATAAAGTAGCATGATGTTCCATCAGCTCAAACATATGAGAACTCTGCTTCTGGGTCTGAAGTTATTTGATCATAGATTAAGAAAAGACATTTGTTGCTCAAAAATTTAAAACTAAGTGTTGCCTTACTACCACAAATCCAAGAGATAACAGATTTATATTTGGGTTTTCTTTTGCCTAGGTGCCTCAAACACCTGCAGCCAGTTAGAACATTAACATTGGCTCTCTGAAATTTATGCCAGGTGAGTCTGAGCCTTAACAGTATAATTCCTGTTAAAAGGACATGGTTCTTACACAGGGCATCTGTTAAGTAAAGCACTGCCAACTAGAACAAGGTCCAAATACCATTTAAAAAAACAGATCTACTGCTTGGCATCTACCTTTTAATTAAGAACAGCTTGTTTAAATTACTTATTGCGTGGGAGTCTTGGGGGCATTAACAAAAATAAAACCTTTGCTTTATAAACTTCAAGAGAAGCAGTACACACCTAATAAAAATACCTTAGATTTTTAATAAATGATCCTGTCTTTTTCAGGCTTTTTGAAGCAACAGAAATATTCAGGGAAGTCCATTCTGCATTGATCAGTCTGTGCCCATTTACATCAGGCATGCCCTGTGACTGCCAGCAGTCCTTCATTAAATTGACAACAGAGATTTAAGCACCTTGCAGAATTTAAAATGTACGTTCAGAAATATTTTTAAGCAACTTCCTTCTATGAAGAACTATCTTGCAAAAGCACTTGAGAATCCAGGTAGCTTGAAGTAATCAGTCACTGCATCATATAAACACACATTTCTAATCCTGATTCAGTGATGAGGCAAAAACGTCTCCTTATGGCACAGAGTGGAACACTGTCACTGGATGTCAATACAGGAAAAATAGGAATGGGTTCAAAAAGAAGCCACCAATTAATTAAATGAGGACAGACATACTGGTGTCAGCTCATTCTGAGAGCCCTGATGCAATGTATTACTCAAGAAGCCCAGGAAGATCACTCTGCACATACTCTGCTTTCTCAAACATGTGCAATATTTAGCTAAATAAAATTATACAGGTGAGTCAGTGCTTTCATAACCTTAATTAGAGCAAGTGATAGCAAAACTTGTGATAACATGAGATTAGGCAGAATTTCTTGTCTGACAGCTACAAGCTGACCAAATTTTTCTTATCTTCATCTCTTTCATCCATTTAAAATCCTGTTCTCCTCTAACTAGTTGCACATATTCTGCAACCTGTGAGATTTCTGTTATCCAGCATAAGACATCTTTCTTCCTTTGGTTTTCATTCAGTGTTCTTTGAAAGGGATTGGTGGTTATTTAAAAACTAGACTTAAAACCAAACTTCTTAAATACACATAGAGGTAACAGAGGAGCCATCTGTTTCCACTCCTGACTAGAATAATGTCTGTTGCAAGACACTCAAATACATCAAAGAGTTAATTTAATCCCTGGATCTACTGATGCTGCCTAGGGCAGACTTACAAGTACAAAAAGGTACATGTGCCACTAGACATATCAGTATCTAGGAATAATTGCTGATCCATGAAAATGCTATGGAAATTGTTTTTCCTATTGCATGGGAGATATCTGTGATGAGCTTATCTATTCACCTTGGATGTCTGGGTTTGCCACCATATAGAGAAGGCCCCAGTTCAATGTAGTGCTTGATGTCTCTGAGCCACCCAAGAAAAGATCATTTATAGAATAAATCATATTGTCTTCATTGTATGTTGACCCGGGTTCATCTTTGGACTGCAAATGACAAGAAAAGTTAGAGACTTATAAATGAAAGTTAGAAAAAACAGAATCAGATTTAATGTGATTTTATAACTGATTCCAAGCTGCAGTGTCTTCTCCTTATAGGACAATATAGAAAGACTGCTAAGGAATGTTAGATACCTCAGATGACTATCAACACAAAAATAAACATTTCACAAACAGACAATGGTTCCATTCTTAATCACAAAGCTAAATCATGTTCTTTGTAAAAAAAAACAAAACAAAAAATATATTACTTTATGTAATGTTTATGTGCAAATGGTGATAAACTTAGAGTGTTTCATAGTTTCATAAGTAAATCTTCCTCTAAAGATGTGTATCAGTGTGTTATTCTTCCTGTCTCAAGTCACAGCCCACCACTCAGTTGTTCTACCAAGCAATACAGTGACCAGGTGGTGAGCACTGCCTGGGATGGGTAAAGTTCTTAACCTGTGGCATTCAGATTTCTTGTACACAAGGGTAAAATGACTCACGTGCAGCTGCTCTGAGGTTTTGCAGTTTTCAATTAGGAGTGTCAGGATGTGTATGTATACACTGAAATTATAAATAAACATGGCTATGGTTTGGGGTAATTCATTGTCTATATTTAGGGAGGTTTTGCTCAGGGGTGTTGAACATTTATCTTGCCAGTGGAGCAATTGAAAAGAAGGAGGGATGCTTCTCCCTGCTGTAATATCATCTAATCTTTTTTTATTTGCCCTGTTCACCTATTACAGACCGTTCAATTTTTTTAATAAACAAACTTGGATGATTTCCACCCAGCAGAGTCCCAGAAGAGCTCACTGGAACAATTTTTGTTACACTGATGTTCAAGTCTCATAAATCCTAGAACAGCTTTAGAAACAGTCAAATGCTTTGGAAGGCCAGGTGTGTTACTGTGCTGATATTAAAAAAAAAAAACAAAAAAAACACCACAAGAGGATCCAAGGAGCTAGAAGCCATTGAGGCTGACATCCACAGTGTACATAAGAATATAGCAGCTGATATGGGAATTGATCAATAAATAATTATCAGGGAGAGGTAGATGACTGCTGCAGCCCAACAGGTTGTGGCTGCCTCTGTTGCTGCTAGCAGCAGATGACAGGGGTGAAAGGGACATTGGCTGTCCCTGCAGGACAGCACTGCCACCAGGAACAACAGTCACTGCCCACTGCCTTTGGCTCCCTGGGCCATTCTTGCCTTGCCATACCCAAGTAAGAGCAGTCTTATCTTGTCACTTCCTCCTCTTTCTCCTTTTTCTTCCTGTCACCAAGCAGAACAGGAAGAGGAAAATATCCTGCCACAGTGGAGAAGAGGAGAAAGGAAAAGTGATTTAAGTGGAGGTAGGAGTCACAGAGGGGAAGGGCAACTGATAGTCCAGGGATCAGGGCTGGGATCCAGTACCCAAGAGATTTGTACAAAGTGATCCTGGTGTGGTCTAGAAAAGGGAGAGATCTTGTGACCTCCTACAGCCCTACAGATTCCCACCTACCTCTACTATGCCTGCCTGACCAAAATGCCCTTATTTGTCCCAGTTCCTTTGTCTGGTTGACACTTCACTGACCCTGCACTCTCCTGTTCTCCAGTCTTGTCTGAAACACTGCTGGCTCCTAGGTAATTTCTCCATAACATTTCTCAAAATCCAGCTGTCCTCTTGCAAATTCTCTTGGCAAACCTTCACTGGAGAAATATCGTAACCAGAGCATCCCACTCGGCCTTCCAAAGGCCTTCCCAGCTCTCTTGTTGTTCATTTAGCAATTCACAACTCTTTCCTGTAGACCTTCAATCACTTTACAACTTGTGCCAATGAAAAAATAAAAAATGCAGTATATTAACCTGCCCTTTAATGAAAGGATTGCAAGGTGGCACATCAATGATCGGAAAGGATTTAGGAAGGTCCTGGTTATTGGTTTCACATTACCATATCTAGAAAGGCAAGAGATTGTGGTGATTCAGACTGGTTGTGATGATTCAATGGTCCATGTTGACCTTTTTCCCCCATGACTGTATGATAGGGCAGAAAAAAAAACTTACTTTCTCAATGTGATCTAGGTAGAAGTCAATGAAATCCTGTGGCTCCTCTGGTGTCCCCCGCTCTGTGTGCATTCGGATTTCTCTCCGTGTAAAGTTGCTCAGGACATCATAACAAGCCAACACCCTCTTGTGCGGCCCAGGGAGACGACTCATCAGCCAGGGGAAGATTTCATAGAGCTGTGGGAGTGACACACAAGAGGTTCTGCAAAGTCTCTATCACAAGAAAACGCACTAGGAAGGTCTTCTTCAAAGAAAGGTAATGATCATGTTAGTTTAGGATTAGGGTCTCTTTAGTAAAATATCCTGACAAAGACTGCTTTTGGGCTTTCAAGCTGTGAAACCTAAACTGTATAATTTCTAGTTTTGATGGTAAGATTCAGAGTTCCACTGGCTTTCAGCTCAATCACAAGAAAAGCTAGAATTACTGTAACTAGAATGAATGGTATTCATCTATGCAGTTATTGATATCTTCAATTGCATTCAGGCATTTAAAAAGTGAGCTCCTGCCCTCCAGTGGAGAGTACCAGGAAGGGAGAAGCAAAAGTTGGCAACTCCTCACCAGGATGCTTGCCAGAGCAAGGACTGGCTGCCGGTGGCTGCTTTACAGCCTGGGGAACCCCCAAAGTGCTCTCTACCAATCGACTTCTCCAGGTTCCTCCATGAAATTTCAAATATCTGAAACCCAGAAAAATTAAGGAACAGCTACCTGACAATTTTGAGTATTCTCCTCTAGAAAGAAAGACAGGGTTAGCTGGCACAACTAGATTATTTTTTTCCTTCTGTTTTACCATTTGGGAAAATCTGGCCTAAGAAATAGTTGATTTCAACCTATTCTGATAGCTAGAAAGTTAATTCTGGTTTCCAGCCTACATTTATGCCTGGGTAATCTGTCTATTATTGTATCTCAAAGATACAATGTTCTCTTAATAGTTCTTTTTCTGCTCAAAATATAATTCCATTGTTTATTTAACAGCAGAATTTTTGTCCTTTCTCAGCCTTCATTTTGCTGAGCTCTTCTTGTACTCTTTTAATCACACTACAGAAAGTACATTTTTAGGTGTTCATTGGAGTGTGGTTGAATTAGATAGACTGTACTTGTATCTTCTTAGGAAATCAGTTCTTACTGTCAGACATCCAATTATCCATTAATGATCACCTTAAAATAAAAAAAGTACTTGTCCAGTCCTTGGTAAATTGACTTAGAACTTCATATCCTTTTTGGTTAACTCCATCTCTGGTATTTTTTTATTGCAAAATGTGTTCGGAATCCTTAGTCACAACTGCGGTCTGACTAATCACATGAAGTTGCCAATTTTGCATAATACTGTGTACTTGTCACATCTGGGAGGTGGGGAGATGGTGGCCATCCTCTGGAATGGTTTGAGCCCCTGTTCTTATTTCCCCAACAGTGTCTTATTCACCAGACTAAATCAAATCAAAGCTAGGATGGGAAGCAGAGAAGAAAAGGAGATATGTTCTCTGTCATAAAAGCAGGTATCACCTGCCACCACTACACTCAACTTTCAGGACCAAAGCTAAACTAAGCAAAAGGGAACTTGAGCATAACTCAGTGAGAAGAATGTTCCATGGGATATGGGGAGACATGTGCATTCCAGGAATTGCTAGCATATTCTATATTAAAAAGGCACTCATAAAATGTATGGGACAACTTCAGCAATGGAACCAGAACTCCCAGGAAATTTTTAATTACTACTGTGTAAAGCAGGCTTCTAGTGTCAGATGGATCATTGACACCCAGATTGTTTCATTTCCAAGCTTGCAGTTATATTTGCTCTCTTAGCATTTCCTCCCTTCTGCTGCCTGTGCCTGGAGCTGCTCCTCACTCAGGGTGAAGGAGCAGAATTTCTCTGGGAAGCCTTCAAGTCTGTGTCCTCCAGAAGAAATGGAAATAAGTAACCACAGGCAAAACACTTTGGTATTTGACACATTACTGTCTCTATTGAGTGTATATAAAACAGTGTCTAAACTTGGCATGTGAGTCACACTTTCAGACCTGGCATTTAATATTTAGGAATCATGATGTCCAACACAGGAACCTGTGATGTGCAGGGGCTGGGAAACCAAGTAACAAATATGACCCAGGAGCAGTCCATGAACCTGTGCCTTATTGCAAAGATTTAGGGCAAACTACCACAGTACCCAAACACAGGAGAATGAACACAAATGCCCAAGGCTGGCATGTGGAGCTTCACCATCCCACTTTGAGAAAGTTCACTGCCCAGTAAATCTGCATGGGACATCACTCATCCATTCCAAAACCTTGCCCAATAGATCTCAAATCTGCATTTCTCACACTCTGTCTTACTCAGAAAAAAACAACAGATCATTCACTTACATGATGAAAAAAGCTGCCCCCAAACTTGAAGATACGTTCTGTAGCTTTTATCAGCTCATGAAAGGCCTCATCTTCTCTGGAGAAACGATGTCCAAACACGACAGAACAAATTACATTTGAGACAGAATGGACAAGAGGGAAAGAAGGATTCACAGGTTTCCCTGCAACCATAATAATAAATATCACTGTTCATGTCTCCTGCTTTAGTGAAATGTGAGAATCCTCTAAGTTACCCACAGAACTTCCAAGAAGGCATTGCATTACACAGAGAAGCAGCAATATTTTTTCAAAATCGTAGTATCAGACTGATTCCTCACAACCATGTTGCAATCCCATAAGCCCAGGAATGCGTGACACTCTAAAAAAATGCCAGATGTGTAAAATATTGCATCATATGATAGAGCAACTTTAGAGGTAAAGGAAAAAAAAAATCTAAGCAAATTTACTTTCTCGCAAAAACAAAATACATCTCAAGTGTGGGAATGAGTGAGAACATTGTGGACAAAGGGAACCTGAGGGTAGAAGAACAAGAAGAGAGGCAGTTTTATTTAGCAAGGACAGAGAGGCATGCAAGGCTACTGTCTGACCTTGCTGGAGACATACAACCTCCAGTAAGATAAAATGTTGTAAACTCCTTTCAACCAATTGTGTCAACAGTATAATAACTAATTTCAAAGCAGTTATTTGAAACCTAATCCCAAGAAAACTATTTTGCGACTATGGAATATATGACCATGAAAAACTCTATTTGTATATGTATTGATGCAACTGCCCAACACCCAAGGCAGGATTCTGATTAGCAACTTAACTGTTTGTGCTTTTTTCCTTGCACACATGGTTACATCTCAGTCTCTCCTAGATGTTAAACCATGGGATTTAGCTCAATCTAATTATTTTTAGTTGATACAACGCTAGCCACAACATGTCCCGATTTATTGTGCCTTCACATAATGATCAGTATTGGGAAATCCAACTTATATGATCCTAACTGGGTTGATCAGGGTAGAACCTTGTAATGAAGACAAGATTCTAGTCAGTGCTTTAGAGAGTGTGTGCAAAAGGCATTATGAGGCTTAATTCATCAGCATTGATTTTGTCTCTTTATGCATCAGCCCCATAAAAGAGCCAAAAATGTGCCCTTGAGCCAAAGGCCAACATAACCCTGGGCTGCATTAGGAAATGAATTGGGGGTAGGCCAAGGGAGGTGATCCTTCCCCTCTGATCAGCACTGGCAAGGCCCAGCTGAAGTTCTCGCTCCAGCTCTGGACTCCTCAGTATGAGGGACATCAGCATATTAGAACAAGTTGAGCAAAGGGCTGTCAGTGTGGGTGCTTGGCACCAATTGCCAGTGGATGGAAACTGTCATCACCCGTTTATTATCTCACTGTAAAACTTTCATACCTTCTCTCTGTGAGCTGTCAAGGGCTGCTCCTTGCAACGCTGACTCCTTTTCTCACTCTCCTGCTTGGCTGGTTGACTTCTTCCTGTCCCTATCACAAACACCTGACCCTTTCTGTATATAAAACTGTGTGCTGTGGTTAGTATGTGCTGTCCCTAGCAGCACACACTAACCCCTACTGTCCCTAACATGAACACCTGACCCTTTCTGTCCCCAGCAGCACACACTAATCCTTGCTGTCCCTAGCGCAACCACCTGACCCTTACTCCTCACAGCAGCACAGCAAACTGACTCCAACTCTCCTCTCAACCAGCTAACCCACTATTTCATAACACCCATCCTTATTGGACACAGCTGTGACCTATTAAGGGCAAGGCTGTTCCTACTCTTTGGTAATTAGTACAGCTGCAACTCCTCAGGGGTAAGATTGCCTTCAGGACTATCTCTATTCTCCTACAATCCATCCTCCCTCAAAGGGCCATAAGGACAATTAAGGAATTGAAGCGTCTGGCATGAGAGAGGCTGAGAGAGATAGACTATTTAGTCTGGAGAAGGGAGGAGATAGGGAGATATCTAAATATGCATAAATATATGGTGGAGGGGTATAAAGAACATAGAACCAGACTTTTCTCAGTGGTATCAAGTGGGGCAACAGGAAAAAATGTAAATACATTAAATTTTGCGTAAACACAAGAAGTATTTTTACCATAGCACTCACTGAACAGTGGAACAGGTTACCCAGACAGGTGGTGAGGTCTCCATTGCTGCAGATATTTACAACTCTGCCCTAAGAAACCTGCTCAGATTGACCCTTCTTTGAGTAGGGGTTAAGTTAGACCATCTTCAGAGATCCCTTTCCACTTAGGGTGCTCTATAATGTAAATAATAAATAAGCTCTAGTTTTTCTTCACAATTTTAGTAGTTTTGTAAATAATTTTGAGCAAGAACAGTCTCCTTGAAAACACAAGATAGACTGATGGCTTTGCATTTTCAGTCCATTCCACACAGACAGTGTAAGACCCTGCACACTCTCTTGTGGAACAAAAGCTGCCCTCAGTTTCAGGACAGGACAGAGAAGTTCATACACTAAAGACATCGGACTAATGGCAAAAATGTATTGATAGTTGTTGCAGAAATACCTTTCATACTTGCAAAGAAGTCTACCAGGTAGTGGGCTTCTTCTTGCACTCGGTACTCCAGACCTCTTTTCCCCAGACCAAGGTTGCGTAAAGTCCTCAGAGCAAACCTTCTCTGCTGCTTCCAGGTGTGACCAGTTGCCAACATAATTCCTGCATCCAAAGGAAGAGCTCTTCATCATGCTAATATTAAACATAGACAAAGACTACATCAAAGGATTTACTAAGCCACAGAATATAATTAAACTCTTGCCTTGCCTGTGAACACAAAGGCACCAAGGAACAGCTGTGACCTGTAACCATGTTGGTAGGGCTGAAATGGGCAAACTCAGCTGGGAATAAGATGATTTGCAGGATTAAGTTTGATCCCAGACAATCAAGTGCCACAGGATATCTCAGCTGCTTCTCTATATGCGCTTTGCAGTGCTTGTCTCACAGTTCCTGCTATGCACGAAGCTCACCTGAATCAGGATAATGACTCTCGTTAAGGGAAAATGGGAAAGAGGCAGAAGAGTGTCCACAGTCAGAAAAGTTCTTGTCTGCAGGGCAGGAAAGTTCAGTATTTAGGCTTTGGGAGTTTCTAGTGTGATTAGTGGAAGGAGACCTATAACAAGGTTGAAACAGAAGCACACTGAATTTCTAGGTGCAATTGTGCCAGCAGGAAAGTATTCCCAAAAGGAAGGGAATGGGAAGAAGATCCTACTGTCAAATTCACTCTTCATGGAGAATGTCATAGTGGGAGGCAGCTTGCCCAGGACAAGGAATCGGGGTGTTTCCTGCTTTTTCTCTATTTCTCTGTGACACAACTTAACCATTGCCTCATCTCATCACCTCTGAATCTGGCCCACTGGGTATTCCATAGAATATATTATGAATCATTTTCCTCTTGCTAGTACTTTCCTCCTGCTACTCTCCAAAAGTCATTTCACCTCTCTGTACCTTGCAGTCCACCTGGCAGTCATTCCTCAAAGACAAACCCTGCCTCTCTGCTACCTCTGAAGGTGGCCACAAGCTACAAAAGAGATTGCAATTTATCAAGATTACACTTCTGTGTACTATTTATGCCAGGAATTTCTCACCTTTTCCTTTGGCCATTGCTCTGAAGAAAGGTGACACCAGCCTGCCAGAAACATCTTCAGGGTGTGTGGTCATACCATCCTTCACTGCTTGAAATCCATTCAGTATAACCACTGGGGCCCATCCAAACCATAAGGTGAATATGTTGCCATAAATTTTTGCCAGCTAGAGATGGGAGAGAAGCCAGAAAAGCACAGATTAAATCCCACACACTGCAAATAGATGATGAACCTGTTTTTGCACTGATTACAGGACCAGCCCTAAGGTGGAGTGATGTTCTCCATCTTTCCTGCCAGACTACAATTATCACTGCGAAGCATAAATGTCTTTTCCAACATTCACTGTTGGATACACCTATGTATTCCCACTTTTCAGAGCCACATGCCTAAGTCAAGAAACATTAAGTACCTTTTATTACTGTATATAAGCCAAAGCTCAGTTAAGAATCAGTCATGGGATAAAGGGTATTTTCTATTTATTAATTTATTTCAAGAAAGTTTATATTGTTTGTACAAGTAAAGTAGCACAAAAGAGCTGTCAGAGGAGTAATTATTTTAGAGACTGGACTTCTTTCCTCCCATCTATTTTTGATCCTGTCAATACAAACAAGCTCATACACACAGAGTGCAGGGAAGTATCTATTTACTGCTTGAGCTAGAGAGTGCCAATGTTCAGAAAGCTAAAAATCCATGCTGTGAAAGTATTTTTTAAAAAATATTTTTCCCTAACTCCAAATCTGATATATAATCCCTAAATATATTTAATCTTAAATTATATCAATTTTCACATGAATTTGTAAAATATAGTGGCAAGGGGCAATAGAAAGGTATCAAGTTTCACACAAATTTCAGTGGAAATCAGTGTTAAAAAAGGATAGGTTTTAACACCAGAATGACCTTCACACATTCAGAAATTCCAATACCAGTTTCTTAGCTTAGCAAACTACTTTACACTGCAATATCTTTTTCTTATTTTGCAAACCAAACCAGCAGTTCTGAACCAAACCAAGTGTGACATCACAGTGTCCAGTTAACAGTTACAGTACTACTAAATGGAGTTTTGGGAGAGGATGTTTTCACATAGCAAGCAGCTTGAGAAAGGAGAATCACAAAGACTTTTAAACAATTAGGAGTATCTGGAAACAAGTACCTGCATGAGAAGATCACGATCAAACTGAAAGTTCAGCTGTATCAGTGTCCCAAAGACTGGGAGAGGGACTGGTCCAGGAGGAAACCGTCTCCGCACTCGTTGCAACTTTAAAAACTGCGTCATTAGAAGAAATACAGCCACTGCTACAAAAGCTTGAGTTATGCTCAACATTTTAGTGTCTGCTTTACCAGCTTGCCTTTATTCAAAATTGTCTATTGAAGCTATCGAGGCTGGTTGCTAAACCAGTTTTTTCATCAGAGCTTGAATTCACATAATAAATATTCCCCGCCTCTTTATTATCAACCACTCCCTTTTTGTTCCACTCATTACATTCTCATGCTTCAGCATATTAATAGATGCACACCCTTCTTCTCCTCATCCAGATTATACTTATTCCATATGGATCACAGGATTTGTAGGAATGGTATCTTAAAAGACTAGGGCCAAGATTTTCCAGGCAATGAAGATGCACGTAAATTCTCCATCTAGTTTTTTTCATGCCAATTTGGAATGGTATGTCTTCTTACAAATACTCCAAGAATGCTTTTAGAAAAGCAATAGCCATACATACAAATTAAGCAGGAAAATGTAAGTGGACATTAAATCTTGGAGTTTTTAAATTGGTTTGTATATATTCCATGTTCACGTTATATCTAGTAATGGCAAGGCTGATAGAAGTTAAAAGTCCACATTTATCTTAAGATACATATACAACTATCTAATGCTTAATACAAAAAGCAAAATTTGTTACACTCTTGAATGTAACTGAAAACATAACTGGACCAATGTATGACCTCACTTTTTTTCCTAACATATTAGCACTAGGTAAATTCACAAGGGTTTTTTTCTGCTTCTGCATGTCCCTGTTCAGTCTTTACATAAGGTGGGTATCCCATATGATTTGAGACATCAGCAGAAAGTATGTGAGATAAATAATGAATATTCATAGAGGAAGTACATCTAGTGTTAAATATACCGATTTAAAAGAAAAAAAAATTAAAAACACAGGAAAAACCTAGTAGGGATCTTGAGCTACCACCAGAACGAAGGGCCTCAGCAAGAACTAGTCATGACATGAGTGTGGATCCTTGGTAACTTGAAAACAGAGTCTGTCGCCAGGGCTCTTTGCCAGACCTCAACACCAGCAGGAACCACAAACACAGCACCAGGGGAGTTCATATGCTGCAATCAGACCATGGAAACCTCACAAGAGGGATTCTGGGCACCATGGGATCATTGCAGTCCTGTATTACAGATTCAGACTGAAATGCTTCCCTCTCAAAATTGCCCATCCCATGAGAGCAAAGCACTTGTAAAAGAAACATGTTTTCAGTCATCTTCTGAGGAAACTGCCAAGACTCGCTTCTTGCAAGCTGACTTAGGGACAGAAACTATTTCCAGATTTTGTGGCTCTAGAACACAGAAGACCATTATCCAGAAAGAACAGCATACAGTTTACAAAATTCCAGCTCAATTAGCCTTCAACCACAGCTCTTTGTTACCACTAATGAATAACTGATTAATGTGTATTAACCAAGGGATGTTTATAGGTTTCCACATAAGCTTTGTTCGTGTACACTAAAAAGGTGATTTTTCAAGACAATAATTTCTAATTTATCTCTCTCCGTTAACAGGGAAAGTAACATTCTCTTTAAAAAGAAATTTGTTAAGTTTTGCCTTCTCTATCTCCAGTGTAATCTCACAAATTCTGCTTCAAATTCCCCAATTTATCAGAACTTTTAATTTTGAGTCAATGTAATACATTACCTTTTCTTTTAGATATTAGCAGATTTTCCATCTAAATGATTTTTCATCAGGAAAAATAATTTTTGTCCACTGGAATTTAAACCCCAGTGCCTTCACCCCACAAGGGCTGCAGTCTCACACCTTAAACCAGTGTTCAGCTGGAGCCAGCCTGGAATACAATTCTCTCACACTGGAAAAGGAAGATGACTATGGGTTGGTTAAGATCTGAGGCATGGGATTTATCTTACTATATTTGATGGAAAATGTATTTATGAGATAGCCAAGGCTCCATTTTCTTAATAATTACTAAATGCATCCAGCAGCAGCACTTCTTCAGCACCATCTACCAGCTATTCTTTAGGATTAGTGATTTTTAACCTGCCAAAGACAAGCAACTGCTGCCGCCCCTCCTGGATCCAGATGGATACAAATGAATCATTCTCTTACCTGTTTAGAGCTGGAATAGGGGGATGTTTGTAGGTCCAGCATGAGGGAACTTCATACAACCACCTACATGCCAGGACATGCTGGACATGGGTAGAACCATCCCATAAAGGTAATCCTGTGGGGGAACAAACTACCAGCCCAGGTTTCATCCTGTATGCACACCCCTGCCTGTTAGACTGGGGTGCTTTAAAACATAAGGTGGGCAGAGGCACCTGAAACAAATACAGCTGTGATAATGATGTCCTGGAGATGGCACTGTCAGCTAATCAGAGTATAAAAATAATCCTTCCTGTGTTGGCATGCAGCATGCCATTTGTACCTCACACAAGAAGAATGTATCCCAATGCCAGAAAAGAAAATCCCTTGTTAACTGCCAGCAAGCAAACCAGCAAAAAACCTCCACTTCTGCCAAGTCCTTAGGCACCTGGCTCATGAAGGCTTCCAGAATTCTTCAGTAGTGCCAAATCTGCTCTTGGTCATGGTGTGCTAAGTGAAGTCATCTAACTGTGATAAAGAATCCATTTTAAAAAATTAAAGAATAAATTAAGCTGAATAAATTTTTGGATGATCTGGGGCAATCATCAGAAGTAGACTACCTGGCATGAGGTTCCCATGTCGCTGGCAACCAGTGGATAAAAAGGATAAATTATCAACACTTGGTGACAGCTCACTGTTTTCATTTGTCTTCCAGTCCTTGCTCTTTGCTTGTGTTACAAAAACTCTCCACAACTGCCTGATGAAGCCACTCTTCTATTCTCACCAGAAGGGTTGAAATGCTACCTGGTTTAGTGGGTGATGCCCTGAACTGTCTTCCCAAGTGACAATGATAGAGTTGTATACAACAGGCTTGCTTAACAGCAAACCATATCAAAGGGAATATGTTATCACAGATCATACTGTCTGCCTCTAGAAACCTCCTCCAAGAGCTTCTTTTACCTCCTGCACCCACTAATGTCCCGAGACAGACTGGAAGACCTCTAAGCCTATCTCCACAAAGGCAACTGTGGCTTATGAGAAAGAATCTTTATTCATGAGACTTCCAATTCATAGACCACACTTCAGTATTGTTCTCTGTAAAGCCTCTTTCCAGTTGGTAATATAAGTCCCAATTCTAATTCTTCTTTTAATGTCTTTATTTGTTACACATCAGGAGAAGTTTACCAATATTTTCCAAACAGAAAAAAAAAAAAGAACAAAGTATGAACCCTTTATAATTATAATGCTCAGGATGTAACTCTCTGTCAAGAATCTTTCAGGGTAGTGATTAACCAAAGGAAGAGGAAAGCAAAAACCTTAGGACATGCAAAAAGGAATTCACATACAGAAGCCGTTTTACAGAGTGACTCTTCCCTGAATCTGCCGTTTCCTATCGAGGAATGGCACAGAGCTGGTAGGGAGGTGGCTTCATTGTGCTCCCAAAAACAAACTTGGTGTTGACTTCCTTCACTCCTTCTGGCAGGGTGAATGTGAATGCTTGTAGCAAGGTGCAAAAGACAATAAAGAGCTCCATCCTTGCCAACAACTCCCCCATGCACACACGGTGCCCTGTGAAGAAACAGAAAAGGCACTTCAGCCAAAGGATTTCTATCACACCTCCCTTTCTAAACTGCCTGGGATTTTCTTTGCTTGTTTTCTGCAGATTTTAGCCTTTTGTCTTAAGTTTGTCATTTAGCAATTCATAACTGAAAGGTTGCTTGTATTTCTGCAAAAAGTTTCAATCTACATTTATATTTATAAGACATTACAGAAGTTGTCACCAGGGTGGCATAGTTCACTTTTACAGTTTTCCCAGCACCGTGCATTTTTCTGCTACTGCTTCAATAGCTGGATCTCTTCTCAGAGAGAAACTGGGTCTGTCTTTCTATGTGTCACTCCCTCTCTTCCAATCTTTTCCACATACAACTGGACTTCTCTCTTCTTGGAGATCTTTAAAACAGTTTGTATATGCCCATTTGTAGGTGCCTTCCCAGTTATTTTGGGAAATGAATGGATCTGAAGTTGTCACCACAAGGAGTAAATAAATCCCTGTTCAGTGCACTTACCTATAGCAAATGGCAAGAATGCTTCTCTGTTTACAAAGTTTCCATCTTTATCCAGAAAGTGGCCTGGGTTGAATTGATCAGGTGTCTCCCATTTTCCAGGATCAGCCAGAACAGAGTCAATATTTGCTAAAACAACTGTGTTCTGGAAAAAAGGAGCAGTGGCTTCAACAAAAACTATGACTGTACCTAGGACAAAGCCTTGTGAAAAGCTATCCACAGAGACAGTCAAACCTTAGAGAGGTCATGTCCCCAGTCAGGAAAAACCTCAAAAACCTTTCTAAAAGCAGCTAATGGAGCAAAGATCAAATTCATTCAAATATGCAGCACATTTGTACCTTTGGAATACGATATCCCAGCAGCTCCGTGTCCTTCACACTCAGCCTGGGCAGTGCAATTAGGAGTATGTTACTGTATCGCTGGATCTCGTGAATTACAGCATTTGTGTAGGGCAACTTTTTCCTGTCCTCATAGCAAAATGCATGGGAACAACCCACAACAGCATCCAATTCCTTCTGGACTTTCTCTAAGGAAGAATATTCAGCTTTAAATATACAGCAAGCAATCTATAAACTCTATAGTCATAATTTTTCCTGTTGCCTTCTGCAGTCAGAATGGCATCCAACTAGATGAAAAAGCTACTTTATAAAAAATAATGCCTTCAAATTTCCATACAGATGACCTGAAAAATTTTGACATTGAGGTTGTTTATAGGTTGCATATATACTTTTAAAATAAGATAGCAGATGAGGTCATTCTATAATAATATGTGGGTTCCTGTTACATTTACTGCTCTAAGGTAATTTATAAAAAGACTTTTATTAATATTTATTTCTACAGGCAGGGAGTCAACTGGAAAAAAATATTAATCGTGTGCTAGGGGAACAGTTTAGTAATTGATCAAGGATTGTTCTTCATTAAGAAACACATAGATTTTGCTTGTCATCTACAGATTCCCAACTGCTGTTCTGCAATTGCCTTGGGAAGCACTTACACAAATTAATTTTTCCCAAGGACTTTTTTTTTTTTTTACTTACAATCTGAGCTAAAATGGTAATTTCTGATTTTTTTTTATTAATACCAGAGACTCTATCATTTGAATTACAATTACTCCCACAAAACTTAAGAATATGTTAATATATCCTGAGAAGATGAAAAATCATATGAAAATTCAGTATGTGCAACCCAGTCTCAAGTTTTAAGTCTTTTGAAGGAAACAAAAATGGGAGATCCTTTCTCCTTAACACTTCCAAATTTTCTACTTGCCAGGCTCCTGCTGTGCCTGGTGCTCAGCTTAAACTCTCAGATATGAGGCTTTTAAAGTGAGTTTTGTGCCTTTTAATCCTTTCTATGCCATACACTCTGGCTTTTTTTTTTTTCAGTCATTTTACTCCATCAATCTGTAACGTTCTTCTGTGAATATCATTATTAAAAGCACACATTTTCAAGATACTCACCCCAATATTAGCAACCCCACACTGTATTTAAGTTATTTCTGCTACAAGAGGCCAAGAGCAAATCAAAGAGTAGGAGTCAGGGATTTAAAAGTTTGAACCAAAGACTCCTTAGTGGAAATCTAAGCATTACTGTCTGTGGAAGGGTAATGGTGCAGTTTATCTCATCTGAGACTAAATTCCTGCAGCTGATCAAATTAATCACACCCTGCATTCTGTTTAGATCTGTATAAAAAAAAAAAAAAGCTGGAATGATTTGCCTGTATGTGAGAAAGGATACAGCAAGAAACAAATTAATGCAGTTCACCTGATTCATACTTCATTAATTAGTTCCTCTGCTTTTCTTTGAACAGGCACAACCAGTATTTGAATTTGCATCATTGCTAGAGTTGCAGACCTCTTTGGATGTGCTTACCTTGAACGTCAGGATAAATCACCATATAGAGCAGTGCCCACAGTAAAGTGGTGGCTGTAGTTTCTGTTCCTGCTATAAAGAGGTCAGCAACAGTCTGGATCAAGTTTCTTTCATCATAAGTAGCATCAGCGTCTCCTTTAGTCTGCAGATATGAATTGAAAAGAAAGTTATGACACACAAAAGAAGAAGTAAAACACCTGGAGAAATCATACACTTCTAAATCTATATTAGACATCATTATAATCAAAGAAACACTTAAAATCCCTTGTTGTTAGTGAAGTGTGAGAGAAGTTCAGAAGTACTCACTTTTTCTATCTCATCCAAATAGTAATCAATATAATGTCGATTTTCATCATGTTTTCTTTTTACTTTGTGACTTTCAAGTTCCTTTGCTAACAGACCATTCATAAAATCTACACAGGACTTCATCTTTTTAACTGATGGCAGAAAATGACCAGCAAGCCAGGGAGACAACTCATACATCTGTAAAAGAGATATTTTAGATATGTGATACTACATATAAATATGTGGCATTTAGCAAACTAAATTTGAATCCTAATACAGGCTTCTGGGTAGTGGAAAAAGTAAAAGACTGATGATTGAATCAGCATTAGATTGAAGGGATAGTGCCTATCCCATGATTCATTAAAGATTAAAGACTTTCTTAATTCTGTTTTTCCCTGGAGCAAAATCAAAATTTCTCTCAGTTTTCTACTATAAAGTTATATATATGTGTGTGTATATATATGGAGAGAGAGAGAGAGAGGGAGAGAGAGAGAGATATATAATAAATAGAAATAGAAATAGAAATAGAAATAGAAATAGAAATAGAAATAGAAATAGAAATAGAAATAGAAATAGAAATAGAAATAGAAATAGAAATAGAAATAGAAATAGAAATAGAAATAGAAAGTAGAAAGAATAAATTAAATTCCTCTCTACCCCAATTCTTTTCTAGGCTGAACTTGTGTCAGCTGAACCAAGGATCTCCCATTAAACCTGTCCCTAGTCTCACTTTATCCAACACACATACAATTTCTGTTTCATCACTGACAAAACCAGATTCAGGCTGACTTCCTTGACACAACTGAAAACAGAATTATCCAAACCCAGGTTTATTTTCTTATGGTAGGATAGTGAATGGATGGGGATTTTACTCACATTCATGTTCTCATAGATAAGAAGCAAGTAGACCACATCTGTGTCATGGGCAAAGCAACTCAATGACCCAGAAATATTGAGCTGTGTGGATTCCGTCCTCTTTATTCATTGTTCTAAAGATATTTACCTTCTTGTCTTCTAAACACTCTCACCTTCTTGTCCTTATACTTTTATAAAGCCACATATCAGCAGGGAAAAAGTAAACCAGCTCTTATATCCATTCTGTTCTTCTACTTCATTTCACTTTCTTTTTCCCCTTTTTACAGACTGCATCATGTCCTTCCATTTACAGAACTACTGCAGTTTAAATTCTCCATTAGGCCATAACTTCTGGGCTCACCTATTTAAGTGGCAGCAGCATTACAAAGATTTATCTGCCCACAAGCCTATTCAGATTCCCAGCTCTATTTCTTCTTTGCCCCACTGTATAATTTTCCTTAGCACTTCCTGTCCACTTACTAGGAAAACAGGTAAGTACAGCCAGTCATTAAGGGATTGTACATTCCTTTGAAAACACTGTGGAGAGCAGGACACAATGAAATGTTGGACTAGAATGTTTTCATTGGCTCTGGACACACTATTAAGGTGTTTTGAAAACAACTTATACAAATACCTACTGAGAGCAGTTTGGAAATAGCTGAACCTGTGTCTACCCTGATTAGAAGGGTAGCTTAGGAATCCTTTAATGACATCTTCTGGGATAGTTACTTATAAGTAATTTTATTTTAGCTTTTCTAGCCAAAGTATCAAAATAGTCCTTAAATCCTCTAGGACCTTGCTTACAGCAGTTTCCAGTTAGCTAGAGATGGTGGAAATCATACAAGACACAGAACTGGATGAGTTCCAACAAGTTGTGCAGAAGCAGCTGCCTCATGCATGGGTAAATTCTCTTTTTGACTATACCCAGTACTGTGGCTCCCCTTCATAAACGATTCATAACAAAACTGTCCCCATCTGAGGCCATCTGTTATGCTGCTTTGGCAGCTGCAGTCACAGATGCACAGATACAGAAGCAAGAGAGAATTTTTCTCTCCAGTGGACCAGATGTGAAGTTAGGAGTTTGTGCCTTGAATGGAGACAGATATCATCCAGCAGCTAAAGGAACATGACTTGCAGTGTCTTGACTGTACTCTTGTAAGGATGTGCAGGTACAGGTGCTGCTGCAAAAAACTGTAGGGAAAAGCTGCCATTAAGCAATTTCATGCCATGTTACCTTTGCATAAAACAGTTGCTCTACTCCAGTTTCTATGAGGTTGACTGGCAGTAGAGAAGGAAACAGTCAAAATCAATTTACTCTTGACATTTTTTGACAGCTGTGTCATGTAATAGAGTGAAGAAAGCCAGTTTGCCAGACAGAAATTAAGATAAACTGATTTCAGAGCTTTTTAGATAATTTAACCCATATTTTACTACTGATTTCAGACACAGTTTCAAACACTGGAATTGTACAGGTAGCACTTCTAAAAAGAAAGTCCTTTGTACATCTCTCAGCCATGTAACAAATCTTTGCATTTTCATCCCTGCCCCCCATACACAGGAAATTTCTGTGCTATGATGAAGCATAAACAATTGAAACAAGTTTTGAACTAGGCATCTTGAAGCACTGTTCTGATGTGCTCTCCAGAAATTCCAGGTACTCTAGTTTTTGGGGGTTTTTTTTGTTGTTGTTGTTACAAAAGTAACAAGCAAGTTGCCTTTTTTCACTGTCTATCTATAGAGACCAAGCAAACAAAGAAAATTTATTTTCCTCACAAAAAAGGAGATGCTGTTCAAAAATGCTGCCAGGGTGTCAAATGACTCAATCAGGCGATGAAAATTCTCGTCATCTCTGGAGAAACGATGTCCAAAAATGATAGAACAAATTACATTTGAGACCGTATGAACAACAGGCATAGTGGGGTCCAGAGGTTTTCCTGTAAAAACAAGGGAGTGCATTCACCAGTAATACTTAACTGTTCCTGCTTTTCCCACTGACAGGGGAGCTGATAAAATTTCATAAATATTTCTGACATTAATTAGATCACTGGATGGCAAATTGTAATTTATTAGTAAAAGGCCTGTGTAAAAAAGTAACTTCAGACATCTAAAAACCACTGTTGGTTAAAAAAAGGAAAAGCTGCTGATGGGAATGGAATTAGTAGTATTAATTATAAAAATACCCAGATTTCATCAATCTTTGGCATAAGCAGATCTCACATTTGGTAATAACCAAGGTACAAAACCAGCTGAGACATTAAATACAGAGATGAGTTGAGAAGAGAACCACCTTATATTCTTTGCTCATATCATTTTATATTAGAATACTTCCACAAGTATTTCATGCAGGTAGCACATACAGACTTTTGAGAGTCAGCTCTGCACATACCCTTTGAATCCATTTTTGTAATCAAATAGTTTCCAAAGGTACCAGTGCCCCATTCTCCCACTGCACAGACTGCCCTGCTCACCCTCACATACCGTTTGTTTTCTGTAAGTATTCCACCAAGTGAGCAGCCTCCTCTTGCAGTAGATAATCCTGGTCTTTTTTCCCTACTCCCATTTTCCTCATTGTTGCCATTCCAAAACGCCTCTGCTGCTTCCAGAGATGACCATTAGAGAACATAACACCTAGGATCATAATGAACTAATACTGTCAATACCTAAATTAATGGATTGGTAAGGTTGATACATTTAAGAAGCTTCTCTTCTAAATTTTTCAAATTTTTTACAGCAGTCTGGCAACATTTCTCTTTTCTTTCTTTTTGTATTTTAGCCATTTATCTTCCATATAGAAGCTCTTATATTAACTCTATGCTCTCATTATTGTTCTGACAGAATATAGAACCAGTTTAAAAAACATATGAAAATAAAAACTTTTTTCCTGATGTAAATTAAGGACTTTGAGGCTCTAAATCAGTATTCAAAACTAGGGATAGAACACATTAAAAGAATTTCTGAGAATAAAAATTACCATTTCCATGTGTAATAATGTGAAAGATTCTGTTTTCGGGCCTTCCAGCAACATCTTCAGCACGGGCAGTCAGACCTTCCTTCACTGCCTGAAACCCTTGCAGGACAACTGCAGGAGTGTTTGAAAACCATAAGGTGAAGATATTGCCATGAATTTTGGCCATCTGTAGAACAAGGTAGAATCAGAGTAACAGGATGAGAACTGGTACTTTTAAATCAAACAAGGTGAACCAGATCTTCCTGGGCAGATGCCTTAAGGATGGCTGGCTTTGAGAACAGAGCATCAGGTATTTTTTTACATGCAATATAGTTTGCAGTCAGGTTTCCATCTAAAGTCTCATTTATTAATGATCATGATGTTTCTAAAATGTCAGCCAATATTATCAAAGTCTGTGATGTCACTTTTTATGTCTTACAATTCAAACCCATTTTAGATGAACTCGTCCATCCTCACCACTTGCTACAAGACAGCAGCAGCACACGAATTTGATGTGAACCATCTACAGATTCCCCTTTGTGTGTCAAGTGTAGCAAAAGCAGTGGAGGAGCTGAGTAATGCAGGAATCATCCTTGCCTTTCCAGCTCAGCTGTGACAGCCTTGTCTTCAGCTGCCTTGCACACAGGCATCCCTGTCAGTGGGCAGGACAGTCCTTCCCCTGGCTGATGAATCAGGAACAAGAAAAGGAGCAAAATAGGCTGGAAAGAGTGGTGTGTTGCCAAGACATCCCAAGAAATACAGGACCAGAGGATAACAAAATTTTGCTGCCTGGGAGCAAACAAGAGGGAATACTTACGCACAGTGAGCAAAAATGTATGTGCTTGTACTTGCGTATTTGTGCTTAATTTCATTTTTGTAAGGGTTTTGAAACCTTGGGATGACCAGTACTACTCTTCATGTCTGGGATGTCAGAAATAGAAGAAAACACAGCAGACAGACACTGGCTGCTATTTTCTGTTATGGAATAATAACACTTTGTCTTGAAATATGCAGCTCCAGAGGACAGAACTGACAGGACATGGAAAAGCCAGGGAAAGGGAAGGTTAAGAACAAAGAGGGAGAGTGAGGTGCTATTACTTACATATTTAAACGTTAAATATTTAATATAGATGTATCAGAACTATAAAACAACAGCCACAAACTTTAGAAGTGGTGCACGTTACAACTGGACATAGAAAAAGGTCTGAGAATACTATTAATTATTTTAGCCATTTAAAAGCTCAGTCTTGCTATCAGACTGAAATCTCTTGTGAAAATCTGACCAAATGGTTTATCAGAAAAAAAATTATTCTAAGATTTTTTAAAAAATGAATTGAATAAATATATTAAAAAATCAGCCTTTCTACACTGGAAATACACATGTCCTCAGTAGCTACTTCCTGGGATACTTAGAAAATACCAGTGCAAAAATAGTCAAAACACAGACATCCAAAAGACTTCATAGAATTAGTGAGTCTACTTTAAAATACAGCTTCTTCCTGTGTGTAAGGCAGGACTATTATCATCATTATGGTTTTGTTCATATGCACATAAGGTACTAAATATATATTTAATAGTAAGTACAAATTTTCACACAAAGAAACAGATATTTTCATTATCTCCACCTATTTCCACATTTATGCAATTTAGAACGAATACCTCTGTATCATTCAAAATAAGACTATGATAAGTACATTTACTTTTCAATCAGCTTATTAGTCCATTAATATATTGCCAGAAAATACATACTTTTTTAAGATGCTCATGATGAATTTTGAAGTTCATCTGCAGCAGATTTCCAAAGAAGGGATATGGAGTTGGTCCAGGAGGAAATTTTCTTCTCATCCATTGCAATTTCAGAAACTGTATCAACAGCAGAGACACCACAAAAAATACCAGTACCTCACTCACTGTTAACATTTTACTTCTGATTTACACAGCTACGTTGTCTCTCTACAACTGCTGTGTAGACAGAGGAGAGATCAGTTTATCTTGCTTTTGAGGCACCTCCCTGAAAAGAGAAAAAACACTTGATGCTCCTGTGACTCGCTGTCTTTCCCTCTTTATCACTTTTACTTCCCCATCCCAGAGAATTAAGTGTTCTTATTTTTAAGCATATATAACATCATTATATTGCAGCTACACATCCGTCAATCATTGCCTCTTCAAGGGACACAAAATGTAGATTAATTATACACCTCCTTGTGCCATGACTCCTGCTGTGGCAAACATCTCTGCCCACGGCCCTGGTTTCATAAAAAACCTCTTGCAAGAAAGAGAAATAAAAAAAAAAATCCTGAGGGTTGACTGCACGCCCAAGGGCAGTGGGGTTACTGAAAATTCAGGCTCATCAGTAGCTATCATATGCACCAACCCTGTGCTTTCCTACTTAACTTGCCCCATACTGTTGATGCTGATGTTCTCTGCTATTCCTTTAATATTTTTCCTCACAGTTTATAATGAAGGTGTTTGGGGGATGGCTCTACCTTTTAATTTTGTGCCTGGGGCACACACAGACCATAAAAGACTCCAACTGATCATTGGGTAACAGGAGTTTTTTGGACACCCAAGTGTCCTGACACTCCCTGCTCAGCTGCACGGGGAAGTGGGGCTGCAGTCTCCTTGACCAAGCAGAAAACAAAATTTCTTCACCCCTCCACCTGCCTGTGGCTAATCCCCCTGGATTGCCTGCAGCAGGAGCAACAATGACATACTGCTGCCTCTGAGGACTTCTTTCACAAGTGTTCTCATGCAACTGAACAACTCCAGCTCCGCAAAGGGTGGCATTTGAACACGATCAATACAGATTTGGCACTTGCACAGGAACAGAATTAGCTTAGACTCGGCTCATCTGACTTAGCCAGCAGCATATGGCACTCTGGGAAGTCACCTAGATGGCCTTGCTGCTCACGTACCAAACTTACAGAACTGGTACAGCTAGAAATAAAAGTTGTGAGGTGTGAAGGACATTGGTTTGCTCCAGAAACAGGGCAGAACATAAAATAACAGAGTAAATAACATTTACCCATCTTGCTGGCCACTGATTGAACCAAGAGCTAGGATCAACCTGAAAAACTGAATTACCCATTTTGAGACCACTTTTGGGACTTTGAGCTCCTTCACTAGTTTTACATTTTCTGTATCTCAAACTACTCCCAGCTCTGAGTTTAGTATTTTCCAAAGTGTTCCTGGGAGGAGACTCAAAGCCCCAAGGCTTGCCTGCCCTGCCCATTTGCTGTCCCATCTGGCCCCTGCACAGTCCTGGCTGGCTGCTCTGCATCTCTCCTGGCTCTCCAGGCTCACTCTGGCTTTTCCACACAGATTAGCCACATTCTGGTGATTGCACCTCTCAGCCTAGACATGAACTGCCTGCACATAGGAAGGCAGTTGCCAAACAGCTTTGCCAAGTCTTTGGGAGATAGGTCAAAGGGAATACAAACTGTTTTCCTCCTCATACAGGACGGCGCTGGAGGATTGGGAAGAGAGAAGCATGATAAGGTTTTGTAAGCTCTATTTGCCACTGCTTCCATGAAGAAAATTGAATGTCTGGGGAAGCAGGGGTTAGAGCTGGCTGACAGCTCAGAAGGACAGAAAGGTATCCCTCTAACAAGTGAATCCTCCTCATCTCACTCTTGCCAGGAGAGCTGCTGGCCCATTCTCCTCTCTCAGTTCCTTTCAGCCCATGGCACAATGGATAAACAGAGCAATGCCAATGAGTCCTTGAAGCATGCTTGTGATAACAATTGTAAAGTCTTTTATTCAATAAGTAACAGCTGGTAACAGGTTACAACAGTAACCCTCATTTTGGCCTTGGGTTTTAAATCTCGTTGGGTGGCTAACAAGGCCAGTCTCACAGTGAGAGTGGCTACTGATGCTTGCCATCTGTGGTATTCACATGTCCTCTGAACAGAGAGAGACTTAGCTTTCTCAGGATTTTTCCTGAGAGAAGCTGTAAGAGAAGCTGAGAAAAGAATGATCAAAACAATTCTTATCTCACTTGCTGCTGCTCCTTGTTGTGCACATGTGGAATGTGTTCTGGAGATTGTTTACCCAAGGTGATTTGTTAATTGGACTCTGCTGATGGTTTCTTGGATTCACTGACCAATTGGATCCACTGTGTGTGGCATGTGACATGGCCAACCTAATCTGCTATACATCATTGTCATTATGAACCCTGGCATGTGAGAGGACTCCCACCTTCACAGAAATGCTTCTCAAATGCACCATAAGAGTATATGTAAAAAAAAAAAACTTCCAGGCCAGCCCACTGGCCCTTATCAGTTTCCACCCACTGCATTTCGCCAGCAGTGGGGCTTTCCTCTGCAATTTCCAGCAGGCAATAGCAGGGGTTTGCCTTTGCTCTTGGCCTGAGTCACAAGCCTCACAGCCAAATGAAGAGTTGCCCTGTTGTCTCTCTTTTACTTCCAGCCTCAAGCACTCATCTGCCCGTGGCTCTTGGCTAAATAGACAAAGCTGCTCCCAGCAAGTTGAGGTGCCCCTCCACAGCTTTGTGCTCCCAAGCAACCATACCTGGGAGTTCTGGTAATGCCCAGAGCCACCACCTCTGGGAACAGCATTCCCAACACACCATTCTGGATTTGAGAATGTAGGGGAAGACTGCTTGGAATCTTCCTCTCATGTTCCTCCTCCCTCCAGTAAGATTCTGACAAGTTTCCAGTAAGACTAGACAGAGCAATAATTGTCTACATTTATTTCATTTGTAACACAGCGGAAAAAAAAAAGAAATACAGATGCTTTCCAGACACAGGAAAACCAGAATATTTTTCAGGGCTCGCTTCTAAGACATACAACAAGGAGAGATTTGCACTGAATTTGAGCTAAAAATGAGAACCACAAAGCTGCACAAATCCTAGCACACTACCAAACCTGTGCCCCTTAAATCTCCAATGCTGAGCAACCTAGCGCAGAACTGCACAGAGCTTGTATGGATGGGGTTTCATGGTGCTCCCAAAGATAATGTCTGTGTTGATTTCCTTAACTCCTTCTGGTACAGTGAACTTGAATTTCTGCAACAGGCTGCAGAACATGATGAAAAGCTCCATCTTGGCTATTGTCTCTCCCAGACAAACACGGTGACCTGCAAGGGGTGAGCAGAAAGAGAAGTCAGTCCCCACCAAGGTCTGTAACCAGCAGCGGTTTCCCAGCTTTTCACAGGAGCATTGCTCATCAAGGAGCAAAGAGCTTTGCTGAATTTGACCTTTTCCTCTCAGATTGAACTGGACGTACAACTGGCATGTCTGCAATTCATCTTTGCAGGCTCTGCCCAGATTATAGAAAAGATACCAGAGATGCTTCTCAGTAGTTTCATTCTTGCTTCCTAATCTATAGGACTCCCTAGTTTTATGAAAGGGATTTCGGTATTTTGATTCCAAATAAAAACAAGAAAGCATCTTTAGGCTCCTTCACAGCTTCTGCTTAGTACAGGCTGAGTTATCTTCCCTAATAACAGTGAAAAAAATCAGAAGACAGAGGACATTCTACACCTAAAGAAACATTTTCCTACATAATGGTTTCAGTGAAAACAACTTGCTAAAGAAAAATCTCTTCCCAATTTATCAATTAACTCTGTCCAGGATGTAATTCCCAGAGACAGACAGTGACAAACTCTGAAATGCAGTGGTCAGGTCATTCCATTTGGATGTGAGAATCCAATTCCTCTTCTGCCCAATTTAGACCAGAAACCTGAGGCTGACATTTTCACAGCTTAGCTTACAGCTCTGACAACCAGGCTATTCCCTCCTGGCATGATCTCCAAGAGCTTTTGTTTGTTTAAGCTTCTATAAACTCACACACTCATGAAAGAGTGATTCCAGAAGCTCCACAGGAAAGACATAGACTTCTGGATGTATTCAATCCAGCTTCAGGATTATTCATCTCTATGCAATGATGAATATTGAATTATTTATACAAAATAAATCAGCTCCAGCACAGCAGCCTGCCACAGAATATCCACTGTAATGGCATAAGCCAGCATATAGAGAGGAGGACAAAGGGCAACAGTGTAAGGACTCAAGTTCCTAAGTGACTGGGAATTCTGTGACCTTACTCATTTTATCTTCTCTGTATTTTCATAAAAATCTAAGATCAAGTGTTTATACAATTGCCAAATAACTTATTTTTGCAGTCAAACATTTTTCTGGGCTAGGAAAACCATGTGCTCCTGCAGTTTGGGTTTACACTCCCCTTTGGCATTCTCCACAATGCAAATAACACAGCTTCATCTAAGCCATACACCTGAGTTCAGTTCTCAGTGCACTCACCTGCTGAGAAGGCTAAGAAGGCCTCTCGGGTCACAAAATTTCCGCCCTTGTCCAAGAAATGGCCAGGGTTGAACTGGTGAGGCGTTTCCCAATAGGCAGGGTCAAAAAGAGCCGAGTCTACATTTGCCATGATTAGAGTGCCCTGAAAGGAAGAGGCAGTTGGCACAGTTCTGTCTCTCACACATCCAGAAGAAAAGGACACAAACAGATCCCAGCTATAATTGTGCACACGGAAAGGCAGCAGAAATGAAAGGTTACATAATTAGGGGGAAAAGAATAATTTCAAGGGTTCTGAGGATTTTTTTGTCAAAAAATAAAGAATCTAAGAAACTTCAGTATTTTGGGTTCAGGGACTTCTCTGTTGTATTCCTTCATGTCTTTTTTACCAATCTCTTAGCAAATACCATAGAATGTGTGGTCTGCAGTTCTTTAGCACCATATCCTAAAAGTAGTGAAATGATCTTCCTCTTCTGAGCTGGAGGGGAAAGGGTTTAATGATAAACCTTTACTTGTGGCCAAAGATCACGCTGGAATAGACAGGATATCTGTACCTTTGGAACATGATACCCCAAAAGAGTGGTATCCTTCACAGCTTCTCTGGGAAGTGTGATCAACACAATGCTGCTGAAGCGGAGAATCTCATGAATCACAGCATTTGTGTAGGGCAGCTTCTTCCGATCCTCGTAGCAGATGAGATGGGAAGGACTCAGAACAGCATCCAGTTCTCTCTGGACTTTGTCTAAAAAAAAAATTCAATATCTATTATAGATGAAGAGCACTGTTTTGGATGGAACAAACTTTCATTTCCTTTTTGAAGTATAGCAATGATAGAAAAACTTACAATATAGAAATAATTCATACTTACCATATCCTAAAGAATAAATGCATTTGTACAAATGTATATATGTACAAATGCATCTGTATAAATGTATGATTTGTATAAATCATAACCAGCTAGTTATGATTTTACTACACTCTGTTTCCTAGTTGGTAGGTTTTATATTCAGACCCTCTTTCCACAAGCCCAACAGATTTATGGAGCATTATAGCTAAAGAAGGAGGAGAAAACTGTAAGTATAATAAGACCTTCTTACTAAGACATCAATTCAGTTAAGCTGTTGATTTTACTTCAGGTAAATAAAGACTCACAGCACACTAATGAGGGTGTTGCAAAAAAGCCATCACATCAAGCTGACACGTGTAATGCTGAGAACTGAACAGGATCATATTACTAAACCATCATCAAGTGTTAATCTCTTTGGGCCGCTATCTAAGCTTTACTTACACACCTTATACAGCTCAGATGATTTGGGGTCAGATTTCATACTGAAAACTGAGGCTAGTAAGCTAAGTGGCATTTTTTTTTTCTTTATAATTTATCAGAATTTGAAGTGCATGTGTGTTCACAGGGCTCTGTTCTTCAAGCATTCCATTCTAGCACCACAACCATGACAAGAATTTCTAGCCCTCAGCCTGAGACTCAAGAACATGTACTTGGCTTAGTAATTCATCACCTCTGAAAACTCTCTACCAAATCACCCAAAAATTTTGAAACTAGTGTGCAACTACACTCTTGTCCAGAATTTCTGGATCATCTTTTTGTCTTCCCATTATTGTCTTCCTTCTCTGTTTAACATTCCCATACATTAAAATAAATATATCTATTTTTACAGAAATTTGACCCATGTCTTAGTTAATTAACTCAAATAATATAACCTTATTAAACATTCTGGATACCAGAAAAGCATCACTTTTCCCTAACCCAAAATTGTATTTCACCTTGTGTGTTTTCAGCCTGTATCTCCCATTATATACTTACAATGCTGAAGGAGCCTGACAAAAGTCAACAGTACCCAATACAGTATCAGAACCTGAATATCCCTGAAATTATTTTAAAATCTGTCTGAAATTCTTTTACTACATTCATTTATTAAAAGCAAATCTCAAAAAAAAATTCTTTCAAAAAAATGAGCTTGATCTTAACCAAAACAAAAAAAAAACCCAAAAAAAAAACCCCAAAAAAAAAAAAAAAAGAAAGAAAAACCTGTAACAGGAAATGGCTCTACTTGAATCATATCCATGCTTGTGTGTACTACTCACCTTGGATGTCAGGGTAAACCAACATATAGAGCAGAGCCCAGCGCAGAGTGGTGGCTGTGGTCTCTGAGCCACCCAGGAAAAGGTCAAAAACAGACTGCACCATGTTGTCTTCATCAAACGTAGAATTGGGGACATTTTTAGTCTACAAGTGTCAGTGAGAAAGGCAAAATGGAGTATTGCTATGTAACAGCACTGAGACAGAGAGTGATCACTGTATCTAAAGGAACACGATTTCTAAAGAACAAAGCAGAACACAGATACAAAGACTTTACTCAAATGAGTACACTGATACTGTTAAATTACAGGTGCTGTTGAATGTGTCAGGTGTATAAATGCTATTATGCTACCTTCTAAAGTGGCATGATGAATTCTGTTAACTTCCACTGCAGAAAAACACATTTCTAGGTAGTTTTATCCCACCTGTGCCACTTTCAGCACATTTGCTGATTTCAGCAATCTAATATATGTTATCCTTTTAAAGATATATGCTTTCTTTCAGAGCAGAGACTGACATTTTAAGATTGTCATGACACTCATACAGCACTACTAAGCACAAAAATAATACAAGGCAAGAATCAGAATTTAGCAGCCATCTAAATACCTGCACCTTTTCAAGGTCCTCCCTACTGCCCAGCCCTCACTAAGGATTCCAAAATATTATAACAAACCAATGTAAACAATTTGTACTTCTAGAACAAGTTTTTGAACTAACTATTCAAAGTTCATGTTTTGAGTTTGGCAGCAGAGTTTTTAAGTTGTGTTTGCAGAGCTCTGCAGTAATGTTGTTGTGGACAGACAACAGCAGGGAAGGGGCAGGGAGCCGGTTATGGTTGGATCTGTGTCATGAACAGCATTAATCACTCACTTTCTCTATCTGCTTCAGGTAAAAGTCAATGAAATCTTCTGGTTCATCTGTTCTGCCTTTTTCCCTGTGGCTTTTGATTTCCTGCCTTACAAAGGAATGAACAAAATCCCGGGAAATTGTTGCTGTCCGTAAAGGTCCTGGGAGGTGCTCTACAAACCACGGGAACACTTCACTTATCTGGGGAGCAAGAATTCAGCACAGAGGCAGTTAGTGACACTGTAAAGAAGTCTTGTGATAGAGATATAGCATGGACATTTTCGGTGCTAAACTGCTGGATTAATTTCTCTGGGAAAAATCCTGTGGCATAAAAGCAATGTTTAGTGCATGTTGAGTACATAAACACACATTAAAATCACAAATTAGGGATAGCACAGTTTCCATCCTAGATTTTCCCCATCCTTACTGCATAACTCCATTTGTATTTGCCCTGTTAATTCACCAATAAAATAATTTACTTTTGCAGAGAGATGTGTCAATATTAATAAATCTAATGTTAATAAACATTTATGTCTATCACCTTAGCACCAGAAAAAAAAAAAAAAAGCCTTCTCTTTCATTTTCACACAGAGTATCATCTTTTCCCCTTAACAATACTGCTATTTCCATTACAGAAAAGGTCATTATCCCAAGCATATTACCTTTGCAAAGACATTCTAATAAAGATTATTAATACAATATTCATAATTGAACCATGTCAAACCCAAAGCATTGCAGGTCCAGTTCATATTCACAGTCAGACTATTTATCAGTATCCAATAATGCAATACTTTAATAATATACATACTGATATAATTATATCACAATAAATAATGTTCCAAATAATCAAATAAATTGTGTATTAGTAATATTCTAATCAGTAATATATAATCTCATAAGTAATATTCTCACATAATAAAAGTAGCTGTTCCCAAAAGCCACTATATGATTGAAGGCTTCAATCAGCTGGCGGAAAGTTTTATCTTCTAGGGAGAAACGGTGTCCAAAAACCACAGCACAAATCACATTGGAGACAGCATGGACAATGGGGAAGGAAGGGTCCACAGCTTCTCCTGCAGACAGAAAAAACCACTCATCTCCAAAGCACTGCCTTCTCCTCCTTTGCTATTTGGGGGAACAAGATTACAGAGACATTTTGTAATAAATGTCCTCTATAATATTTATACTGTTACTTAGAAACACCCAAACTTCATTAAAAAATGTAAGAAAAGATATGTCTCACTCAAAAATGAGGACAGGAAAGTCTCAAATCTTTAATTCCTGGCCTTGGTTCTTTTTTTAATTTGCTTTCCTTTTTGCTTTCTTTTTTATTTTTTTTTTTTAATCTCAGTCTTGGTGTTGATCCCAAAATACAAACTGCTAAGGTCCAATTGTACAATAATCTCAACAGTTCTAAGGGATTTATTTTGTCAAAAAATAAATAATCCAAGAAACTTCATTATTTTGAGTTCAGGGATTTTCCTGCTGTATTCCTTCATGTTTCTTTTTCCAGACTGTTAGCAAACACCACAGAACATGTGGTCTGCAGTTCTTTAGCACCTTATCCTAAATCTGCAAATCTAAGGCAAGCTCTAAATCCCTTCTATTCTGTAACAAAAGTCGTCTTTACCCTTAGAGTCAAGCAGTCTGTATTGTGTCTGCCCCCAAGCACTGTATCAATGCCATACCCTCCTTGTCTCTGAAGAACTCCACCAGGTAACGGGCCTCAGTTTGTATCCCACGCTCCATTCCTTTATTCCCCATTCCCAGTTTTCGGAGAGTTCCAATTCCAAAATGTCTCTGTTGTTTCCAGATGAGACCATTTGAGACCAAGATACCTTTAGCCATCAAGAATGAAGTTTATGTCACAATAAAGTTCATACAATTGTAGATGATAAACACAGCAAGAGTCACTTTCTCATCATGCTGTCACTCAAAGAATTGTTCTTTGAATTGAATGTTGTTAGAGGCAGAGAAAACACCTTGGTGTTACCATCCCTGCAAAATACCCACTTAGACCTCTGGACTCACACATCTGCCTTCCAAATGTAGTCCTATTTTTTCTGAAGCGTTAGTCTCTGGTAGGGAGACTACTCTTTGAGGGATCCTGTTCTACCAGGATCTTTACACTAAATACTGAGTTCTCATCCTGGAAAGGTCCTTTCTGTAAAGACAATGAAGCCAGGGCAAGAACCACCCAGCCAAAATGAGAATGAAAAATAGGCTTTAGCCAATCTGCAATCAGCTTCTTAAGATCAAGAGTTCCTGTGAGACAGAAAGGAATCCCAGTCTGCTCTGCTGTGGGTCTGTGTTCTAGCTGAGACCACCCAGCATGAACCATTTAATCTGCTTGGTAGGGAAATTCCCTCCACAAGTCTAGCCTGCACTTCTCCCTGGGAAAGCCAGCTCACTCCTGCTTCATTAGAGCCTGGGATAATTCTCCCCTATTTTGCTGTCCTGGGAACTAGGGAGAGGCAGGTGGTATTTGTGCTGCAGTCATAAACTTGCAGCTGAGCTAAAGCCATCCCTGCTATAAATTGCTAGTTTTAGGGCACTTGTCACAACCCAGCTACTTTTGTCCACAGCACCCCGATAAAAAGTGGCAATATAGATCTTTCCAAATGGACTGAAATGGCCCCAAGACTTGATCATCTCTATACCTTAAAGTGTTTTTTCTCTACTTACATTAGCTAGTATTACAAATTAAAGCTTTTTTGACTGTATTTCACATTAAACAAATCCTGCCTGACAGTAAAGGCATCTGCTGTACATTCTCTGGATAAGAGGTTGATAGAAACAAGTTCAATTATTTCTGTTTTAAACACATCACTCTCTATTCTCCCTCCACTGTGATTCAGCAGTGTTTGTGATACACAATACAATGCTTTGAACACTCTGGCTAATAAATTTGAAGCTCCACTGACCTTCCTGTGACTTTGTACTTCGGAAATAGACTAGATCAAAGTTTTGTATATGCTTTCCTTACAGCAGCTTTTGCTGTAAACAAACCGCTGGGTGCATAAAGATTTACTTTTGTCTCGGCTTGCAAAGGAGGCTGCAGACTCAAGATTATTTCAAATCAGGACACACAGACAGCACTAAGAATGTTGACCATGCTGCTCTGATATGATTCTGAAATATGTGACAGTGGGATTTGGAGGCCACTTAGGATGATGCTTCAGAATTACATGATTCACCTTCAGCAGACAGAAAAAGTCAGTTGAGAATGAAGGTTTTTTTCAGTAAGATAAACCTGAGAGGAAACAAAGAAAGTCAAGGGTGAAGTCCTTCCACAGACATGAACATCTTACCCTTTCCATCTGACATTTTCTTGAAAATGACGGTCTGCAGTCGCCCCGAAACATCCTCCGAGTTGTTGGTGAGACCGTTCTTCACGGCTTGGAACCCATAGAGCACCACCACAGGTCTGTGACCCATCCACAGGGTGCAGATGTTGCCATAGGTTTTTGCCAGCTGCAGGTAAGATCAGTGCCCGAAAAACCCCATGGGAGAAACATCAACAAACATGCACACATGATGGGCTGCTGCCCTGCTCTCTGGGGTTCAGGAGATGAAAAGGGACAGTGGCTGTGTTTTGTGATGGGGGTGCTTTCCAATTTGGCTACCAATACAATCTTGGATACAATCTTTTTTCCAACCCATGACAGCAGAAGATATACTGGTGCACTTTTCACATCCTTTGAATTCAAGGTACCTAATTTAAAATTATTTTCAATATATGCCTATGATGGGAAATAAGAAAATCACTTAATTTTTTTTCAAGGCCAAAGATTACCTTAAAAACATAAGTCTTTTCTGAATATGTTCAGTTCTGTTTAAGTTGCACACATATATGAATGAGACTTTCAAATGAAATTATTAGGCTTTCATATGGATTAGATTGTCTGCAGATTTTTCACCTTAACTTGTTAGACACTTCACTTCTACAAATCACCTTCTCTCAGGGTTCTCCCTGTTATCACATCAGCCTATCAACAACCATCACCATTTTTTAGAGGTTTTGCCTCAATAGCTCTTTAGTTCACATTCACAAATACATACCTTTTTCAGGCTCCCATGATCAGCTCTAAAGTTTATCCACCAGATGCTTCCAATGATGGGAAATGGAGTTGGTCCAGGAGGAAATCCACGACTCTTCCATTGCAAATTCAGGAACTGTGCACTCAGAAGAAACAAAACCAGGGATATAAGAATTACACTTATCATCATTTCACACTTCCAAACTCGTATTATAAAATTGCTACAAATCTGTCTGTTGAAATTGTTCTTCTTAACTCTTCCCTGTCACTTTGAAGATCTCTGAATTTTCACCTCCCTTTTTTCCTACCACTCTTCGTGATCCAAGAAAATGAGGATTATTTCCATTTTTGAGTGTTATTTAATACATCACTATGTTGCAATATGCTAATTGATACTACTATTTTAAGATCCAGCAGAGGCTGGGTCAGAGAAGGTGGAACCTCAGCCAGAAACATCCCTTTGAGCAATCAGTTTGACAGAATGTGTCACTCAAAATACTGACTACATACATACATGCCAAGAACTCCGGTACAAAGCTGCAGCTGTCAGATGAGAGCAGGAACACTCATCAGGTAGAACTCTTGGGGCAGAGGTAAAAGGAGGCAGCCAGCAGCCTTGTAGTACAGTGGGTGGACAGGCAGACTTGGGAACTAAGAACAATGAAGTGTTGCAATTTGAGTTTTCACAGTAAACAGTACAGATGAACTGCCAATAGCACAGTGAAGAATCAAACATAACTAGTGCTATTGGCAAAAAGTGTAACAGATCTCACATTAAACTCCATTTTGGGGCTGAATTCTTGTCCCCCAAGAGGATTTATTAATTAGTTTTTGCCTTATCTCAGTAGCAGGAGCCCTGCTCAGCAGAATTATTCCAGAGCCTGTAAGTCTTTGCTTTATTTTTCTTTTTAATTCACAGCACCAGAAGCAGCACATGCAAAGACCTCCTCAACACAACAAAAAAAAAAAAAAAAAAACAAAACCAAAAATCCCTACAAACATGAGCAGTTCTTAGAAGATTTCTGGTGTATAGCTAGTGGAATAGGCTGTTTGGGATGTTGGTACCAAGCTGCCTCATGAAGAACAGCAGACCTTATAGAAACGGGGCTGAGCAGTGCTCCCCAAAGGAGTGTCTTTCATTCCATCAGACGGGATGAATCTAAACACCTGCAAAAGGCTGCGGAAGACAAAGAACTCCATGTGTGCTGACTGCTTGCCCAAAAATATACATAGCCCTGCAGAAAGAATACAAGAAGGCAATTACCTACCTTAATTGTTGGTTCCACCCCACACCTGCTGTCTTTCCTGTGCTTTCTCTGAGGCTGCTGCTCCTCTCACAGCAGAAATGTCCCGGCAGGCTGTCATTCTGTCTCAAGATTTGCTGTCTTAAAAAACTCAACTCATCCTCACAACTCCCCTTGCATAAGCCACTGATGTCACTTGCCAGCTGGCAAAAAGGACATCAGGCATATTTTTAAAGCTCTTTTCACATTTTATTCAACTCATCTAAGTTCTTCAGTAGTATTCAAGGCACCTATCTCAACCACTGTTAACAAGGGCAAGAACACTTCCCTGGAGATAAAAATCCTTCCTTACACAGTAACTCATCTGAGCTGGATTCCAGAAATTTCTTCCAGTGCTCAGGAATCAGTTGCAATATATATCAAATATATTTGCAATAACCATACTGTCCTCCAGGAAAGAAAGGGTTGGTCCTACGCTGTCTCTAAACCCCTGTCCCTGGCAAATTCATCTGAACAAAGCTCAAATCTTCTGTTCTGTCCACAGCTTCTGACATTCCAAGTGCAGCATCTGGGCTAATAGATACTGCTCTGGAAAACTGTCAAAAAGAATGCTGAGGCTGCAAATACTCAAACATTAGGAAATGCCAGAAGTAAAACTGTCTGTACAACATTAATTACTTCTTTTTGACACTTCAGTGAGAAAATGGTATGTGCTATGGTTAATTTATGAAATTCTTGTCTCTGTTCAGCTCTTCTGCAGCTGACTGCAGAACACTGCCAAGATTACACAGCACTTCACAAACCAGGGAGACTGAAAGGGCACCAGGCCTTGGTAGCTCCCACACCATCAGGACATAGAGCACCACAGCACTGGTGTAAGGTCTGCATTGCTTTCACCTAAACAGCCTTGCATTAAAACACCAAAACAGGCAAAACTGTCCAACCAAACAGCCCAAACAGAACAAACAACAATGAAAGCAATGGGAAAACAAAAAGAGGAATGTTTACAGCAGTCACTTTTCTTCCTAATAGCTAGAGCTCATGCTTTTTCTAGTTCTGTTCTCACTGCATGCCAGTGATGCCAAAAAGTTGGTAAATCTCTATAAGGTTAGATATACCAACTGGTTTTATTTTGAGATGACTGGGATGACTATATATTACTAGCAGGAAGAGAAAGTGATGGATGCTACAATTCATTGTAATGCAGAGTGATAGAATTTAAATGAACTCCATCAACGTGTGTGACTTGCAGGACTTATGTGCACAGATTAAGGACTAAAATACAAATAAAGTAATTGTGAGATCAAGCAGGTAGAGGCAGGTGTTTAGAGAAGCTTTCTGCAAGTTGTTTTGGGGAAAATCAGTTTTCCTAGTTCCAATATCTTCATTATACGTGAACAGCACCTCTCCATGCAAGCCTTACTCATTATTATCTGACAAATACTGTCACAAGAGCTCCTTGGCAGAGATGGAAGATGTTTAGACAGTTCAGAAAACCCTCTTTTCTAATGAAGGGAGCAGAGCAGAGGAGTAGAAATAAAATACAGGGAAAGAACAGCACAGAAATAGTCACACCTGCCATCTACAACTTGACTTTCATTAGTCAACCTTCAAGCTCTTTCAAAAAGTAAACATCAGGGTTGATTAGGCCCAGAGAGATAAAGCAAGATCATGAGAGTCACAGATAAGCTATGAACAAATCTAGAAACAGAATCTGAAGTTCAAGTCCAATTCCAGTACTTTGTCTATGCAACCTAAAAAGCTCATCAATCTTCAAGTCCCAACAAAACAGATGACAGCAGGAGGCAAAAACCTACACACTTTATTTATAATGCATGTTAGCAAAGTTCTCTTTTTCTGAACTGAACAGAAACACAGAATGGGAATTTCATTTGCTCACATTTCCCAGTCTTTGTTCACTCCAGCTGTGCTGTAAGCTACATTCTCCCTCTCACAGTGTCAGAGTAACTCTCCTTCCCCAGAGAAATTCTGGTGCCTCCAACCAATTAACAGCTCCTGTTAGGAAGCTCTTGAAAGATCAGGGAGTGCAGGGGAGGATGGGACAGCTGAGAAATCCAAATTAGTGTCTCCACTGAGAGGCGAGGGTGGGGAAATAACAACAAGAACAAACCCACAAAAAAATCCCAAAACCAGCTTAGCAATACCTGTGCTGTTTAGCTTGAGGCCAGGCAGCAAGAACATTGGGCTGTGTTTTCAAGACATCTGTTCCTGCAACAGACAAAAAACGAGCCCTGTTTTTTTGTCAGAGCAGATGACACACACTCTGGACAAGGGTGTGCCAGGAACCCTTTCCACCCCCAGTATGCACATTCATCATTTGCTTCACACCTTCCTAAAAATGATCTTCTTTGCTTCCCACTCCTGTGGCCTGAAGCCTTCCTTACAAAAACAGATTTCCTCATCTGCTCAAAACAATCAAACTTAATACCTGTCATCTTAAGTGGAGATGCAGCTCTTGCAATGGTATTTGTATCAGAGGAGATCAAGCAAGATTTATGTAAACAGCTACTGCTCACATGTACTGAAAAGATAAAAATACACAGTATTGGAACAGCTTCCTTGCTTTTTCTCTCCTTGTGAACTTCAGCCCAAGCTTTTGTGAAACTACTTTGCCTCAGTATAGTTCAGTTTTTCCACTGCTCTCACCTAGCAGCAAGAAAACACACTGCCCAGTGTTCAAAGGCTCACGCTCAGTCTAATGCTCTTGGTGGGTCCAGACTTATTCAGCTGGACACAGATTTCTCTCACATGAAGCCCTGGTCTTTCTTTTTGTTTTCTTTTCTTAAGTTGCATCATAATCACTGTTATTAATAGGCAACTTCATGGCTCAACTCATCTTAATTCTGGTAATTTTAAGTGTATAAATCATACCCTCACTGATGGGCATGAGAACATCAAGAGCTTTCAGGGGTCTTTAACTGTTGCAAAACTTGCAAACTTAACAAGTGATTCTATGCAAAAATAAGAAATAGAACAGCACTAACTTCCTTTTAACCAGACAGGACCAGGTGGATGAATTGGGAAGCAATAAAACAAATAAAGAAATGAAATTCCAATGCACACAAGCAGCAAGTGAAGTTAGATTGTTTCATCAAGTAACTCATTTTAAAGTCTCAACTACCAGCTACATCTGAAAAAATGGGTGGATAAATAACTGCTCAATAGTATAACTCAGTAACACTGCAATTTTTTATATACATATGAAACTGTCAGAATCGGCTGAAAAAAACATAAAAGTTATGCATTTCAAATTGCTTCCCTCTTTTTTTTGTCACTTTAACTCTTCCACTGTAAGATTCACAGAACCATGCTGCTGGAAATGATGCTTACCAAATTTTTCTGTTTCCACTTCTCTGCCCAAAAAACCTAAACAGATAACAGAACCACACAGGCATGGTCCTTGGCCTCTGATAGCTGCTCTACTTCCAAGTCTTGCTGAAGTATCTGCACATGCAGCACACTGGAGCAGAAATGTTGCATGGAACTGCACAGAGAAGTCAAGAGGTGGCTGCTCAGGAAGGTAAGGAAAGAAAATGCTGCAGTTTCACTGATGCCCTGTAAAACTGCTCCTGTGTTTCCTGTTGGAAGCTGAAGTTATTACAATCCACTGCAGAAAAAAAGACCAATTGTCATCTACATATTTTTCAAGAGTGAATCATGCAAGATTGTATTTGCCACATTTTCTTTTATTAACCCCCACACACATAAAATGAGCTCATTAGAAAATGAACTGAAATGAGTGTCCATGCCTGTAACTCTCAGTTTCTTGAAGCTTAATTCAGTTCTTAAGAAGCCCACAGATAGCGTTAAATCTTTATATTTCAGGATTATAACATACATTGATTCCAATCAATAACCTTGATTTTGCAGAAACTTTTTGAGCTGACAAGTGCAGACTGAAAAATTCAGCAAGGCTGCTCAGAGAAAGTATGATAAAATTTTGAAATAGGCAACTTGTATAGTTGTATGGCTTTCCTTAATCTCCTATTTAGTCTTGAAGATAGCATTAACTAGGTTCTTGAACAAAATGTTGAAAAATATTGCGCAATATATCAGTAAGTATGAAAAGTAAGTCTCAAGTTAAAGTTTGCTACACACTGGTACAAACCCCTCTGGTAAGCTTCTGGGATCCACAAATCAATAAGGATTAGAAGTTTTGCCTGTTTCTTCCATTTATTTGATCTTTTCCACAGATCTAATAGAACTTGTGCATAGTTTCATCTTCAAAATTTGAACCAGAAGATTTTAAAACTTAGCATAAAATGAAACATTTTTTAAAAGAAAAGCTAGAAAACATCATATAATCTGATGGGTAGAAAAATAATCTCTTTCTATTGTTCACATAATATCATAACCTAGTATATGATAAAAGGGGAAAGAAGATAGTCTTCAAATTATTTAATTCCCTTTTGATTTTCTTATTAAAGACAATAATTAAGCTTTATGCTGCCTGAACTCATTCTTTTACACCTCAGAGACCTCAGATATTGTGTAGATGTTTCTTCTTGTGTAAAGTAACCACACAATAATTGTAGTATTTCAGAATGACAATAACTTATAACAATAATGCATTTCAATGTTTAACTACATGAAACTGCCTAAGGTGTTACCATTATGCAAAACTCTTGCAACCTTGGATAACTACTCAATAATTGGCACTTTGACCCGCTACCAAGACTAAGAAGGAAACAAAATTCTAAGTGAAAAAAAGAGACAGGTCACAATTACAGATCATAAAAAAAGGAGTGGGTGTGGCTTGGCTAACCACAAAGGATCACATGGTTTGGTTTTCTAGGGACTTCAGGCTGGGAAAACTGTAGATTGCCAGAGAGAGATGGCTACAGGAGGCATATCTTTAGAAAGAGTCTGGATTCAGTAGAAGAAACATCTTCACAAATCCAAATTTCCAGAAGAAGTCATAGGGGGAAAAAAAAAAAAACAAAAACAAAACAAAACCAAAAAAAAAACCAGTGAGAAGTTAAAATTTTGATAAAATGTGGGGGATTACTGAGATTTTTATAGCTCTAGTAGTGTCCCTCCTGACTTTGCAGTTCCTCAAGCTGCAATGGATGCGTACCCAGCTTCCTCCAGGACCAGTTCCCCTCCCCATCATTGGAAATTTGTGGCTGCTGGACTTCAAACTACGCCGAGAAACTCTCAGCAAGGTATTTATTTATCTCTGTGGTTGCAAATCAGTCTGAATCTATTTTAACTTAAATTGTGCATTGGATAGGAATGGCCTAAAATGCTATTTTTTTTAACCTCAAGCTTGATTACCAACCAGTTTCAAAGACTCTGAGAACGCTGCAGTATTAAAAATATTTCTGAGTAATAAACATCACCATTACTTTAGTCCTTGCTATTTTGTCTTTCTTTTGGTTGCATTCTCACAAGCACTGTCATAGAATGGTATTTCATTGGCAGTTTCATTTTGTTTCTGTGTTGATATCCAGCCCTGTAAGTCACATCTAGCAGAGCTCTCCTTTCCTGACACCAATGCCACTGGAACATCTCCATCAGAAGACCAAACATGTACCCTAAACAGACACTTTGTTCCCTTGTTTTTACAGCAAAAAGATTTCTTATCTGCTATAAACAGGTTACTGCTAAAACAAAGCAGGAAAATCTGATTGCTGTTGTGTTTGCAACACAACAATCACACCAATCAAAACTATTCTTAAAAAGTAAGGAACTTGCTTCCCACTATTACAGGGAAAAATATAAGCATGATGCAAGGAAAAACAACAGAGGAAAATAAGAAAGATCCTGTGGAGCTGTAGAAAAAAAAGCAAGAAAATTTCTTTGCTTTCTTTTTGAGCTAGAGACAAGAAAATAACATCATTTTGGTCCATTAATAAAGATAAAAACTCTGGAATTTTGCCTGTAATAATTCGTTGCTTGATTCAGAGCTAACAAAGTAACCTGCTGGTTTTCTTTCTGAGAAATTTACAGAGGTATTCTTCTGAGAGATGTCTTTAGCATCTATTCCATAAAGAACAATTATCTTCTGTTCCCAAAGCACATTAATAACAGAAAGACAATTTTTTTTTTCTAAAACCTGCAATTCAATTTGATGCCAACAAATGAGTTTTGTTGCAACTACAGAAAACTATTAAATAAATTGAGATTTTAGTGCATGCTTTCCCTGGTTTATAGTTACAAATTTCCTGTTATCAACTCTTCAGTTAACCAGCGTGTACGGGAACATCTACACACTGTGGATGGGACAGACACCTCTGGTTGTGCTGAATGGATACAAAGCAGTAAAAGATGGCATCGTCACCCACTCAGAGGAAGTTTCTGGAAGACCCCTCACCCCTTTCTACAGGGATATGATGGGTGAGAAAGGTACAAAGTGTTACACAAAGTGTTACACAAGAATGAGATAGAACAAGGTATAAAGAAGGAATATGTTTTCTTGTGCACACACATCAGCTACTGTTGTACCAGGGCATAACTGGGCTTTCACTGCAAAAATGTTTCGTGCAGGGCTAAGCATATTAAGGAAAAATCAAAAATTTATTGTCTTATAAAGCACATCACTCAGTCCTTTTCCTTCCCAATAGATCCAAATGAATACCTGCCTGGAGAAGCTGCCCTTCAATTGTATTATTTCTAAACCAGGAGACTGCTGATGTGGAAGGTATCTATAGACAAAGCTGTTCAGTCCTCACCAAAACCCCCTCAGCTTCCAAGGACACATTTAGGAGCAGCTGGGTGCCATAAAATCCTAGGGACCAAAACTCAGCTTCTAAAATCTAAAATCATTGTATCCTGTTAGTGAAATACAACCTCATCTAAATCAAAATTTGCCTCTTGCAGAGAAAGGATTTCCCCTCCCAGCAATGAACTAAATGTTTTTGTGTTTTTCAGGTATTTTCCTGACAAATGGTCACACCTGGAAGCAGCAGAGACGCTTTGGCATGACAATTATAAGAAGTCTGGCACTTGGTAAGAACAGTTTGGAGCATCAAATTCAAACAGAGGCCTGTCACCTTGTGGATATCTTCACAAATACAAAAGGTAAATTCACTAGAAAACAACACTTAGAGCTTTTCCTGAAATATTAGGGCTGGTAAAAGTTTCACAATACATTTTTACAAGTAATATATTGTCTACATTAGTAGAACTTTCACTGGCTTCTTAACTGCATTCTTTGCAAAAAATGTTTTGTCTGCACAGTGGGCAATATAAAATTGTTTCTTTTTAAATAAGGAGAGTTTAAAATATGTTTATTATCAACACAGCTGGTAATGATTCTTATACTCAAGGAGTATAGAAAAACCCTCCTTAAAATATACAATGTATGACCTGCTGGAAGTCATTCTAGGACAGCAGGCTTTTAGGATTTGGCAGAGAAAGAACCCCACAACAAGGAATGTATCATTCAGTTATCCAAAAAAATCTTCTTTTCAACGTTTGGATGAAATAGAAACCAATAGAATTTTAGCAAGCTGCCAAAATAAAGCAATTAAATATAAATATTCTGAGCAGCCAAATCCCTCACCCACATCGTGTTCCATGTGAAAACACAGAGAGGTTGCCTGAGGTCTCTCTCCAACTCTCCTTGGACCAGGTCCATCTCTTTTCCAAGAGCAACATTCACACATCTTTACAATGTAGATAAAAAAATCATCTACTGCAAGTCCCCGTACAGCCCAAAGCTTTACCTACCATGCAATCTCTTCTCAATTTTAAACTCAATAAATGTATTTTCTCTTTCCAAGACCAACCAAGAGCATTGGACTGAAGTCAGGGATGTATTTTCCATAGAAGTATACTTCAAAGGTTGTCCTTGCCATTGAAATGTATACTTAATTTATTTTTTTCTGAATTTAACCCTTTACAATGGGAGATGTATTCCACTCTACTATATTAGCTTTGCCTTTTCAGTCTGTGGAAAAAAAATACATCTGTGGTTGGATTGTTAAGCTGATACTTGAAATCCAAAAATAGATAAGTAATTTCAACAGAACTAAAAAATGAAAATTCTAATTTTTTTTCTGGGTTTGTTTGGGTTCTTGTTTTGAGGGGTGAGGGGGTTGAGGATTGTTGGTTTTGTTTTTTAACTGCAAAACTTAAATATCTACCTCCATATTTGAAGGCATATCCTCTAATTAATTGTTTGTGTTTCCGCACAATCCAGACCACAAGTCAAAGAAGGGAAGAGATTTTGTTTGCCTACTCAAAAATGATTATCACTGTATTTTACAAGAGTAAAGAGCAGATTGAAAATTAAGAATCCATGCACTTACAATTCATGCAGTTAATATATACTAAACTAGGCTCCGCTAACGTAAAATTTTCCTAAAAATAGTTTGATCCCTTGTTGTTTTTACCATTAAAAAAAAAGCCTTCCGCATTTTTCTTGCTGTAGTCTATTCAGAAGTTCTCACAGCACCTCCCATATTCACAGGCAAACCTTTTGACCCCCACACTTCCATCGTCCATGCAATTGCAAATATCATTTGTGCTGTTGTTTTCGGTCATTGCTTCTCCAGTGAGGATGAATCTTTCAGCAAACTCATCAAAGCTATTTATTCTGTGATCTACTTTCAAGGTACTATCTGGGGCAGGGTAAGAACCTACTTTTCTTGTTCCTTAAGGTGCATTTGCACTTGACAAGTCAAAAGAAATTAAAAGGCAGAGACAAGTATTCATAAACATTTCCATTTCCAAACATACCATTGTTCTACAAGCCACAGTGAAATAATAAATCAATACATACTTTGTATATGTCATTATTGGCTTCTAATCCTTCTTTATGTCTGTAAATCACATCCTAAAATTAAAATTCTAGATCATCACTGCTTTTCACAGATTCCAATAAGCAACCATTTGCAGAATACTGTGTATTTAAGATTCATAGTTTTTAAAATGATAACAGCTTCTAAAATTTCATTTTTATTTAGTTTTGCAAATCCAGAAGGGCAGTTAGTAAGAACTAAGTCTTCAAATGGATGCCCTTTTAAAAACATATCTTGCTTCAATTCATAATGCATATTACCATCAAGATCCGAGTTATTCTGAGCTTCCCATGATATACAGGTTATAACAAAGGTTTATCACAGCAAGAAGAATATATTTTAAGTTCTCAAAACCCTAGCTATTACTTAACTTGTGCAGATTTTGGCACACTGGCATTGTAAAAGACTATCAGGTTCCTCATAAAGGGATGCCTAAAAAAAATTATAGTAAAAAATTCAAGTTTGAGAAAAATCTGTTTGTGAGTCAGATTACATTCCCAGTATTTAATCTCTTGTGTCTACTGCCTCTCATTCCAATTTGTTTGCCCACATGTTGTGATGACTTTACAATTATCAGGAAATCAGAACTGGGATCTGACACTCTTTGCTTTCTGTTGAACACCACAGCTGTATGATGCTTTCCCATGGCTCATGCACCATCTCCCAGGGCCTCATCAGGAGGTGTTTGCATACAACGACTTCATGCACAGATTAGTCATGAAGGAGGTTCAGGCTCATGAAAGACAGAACACAGGTGATCCACAGGATTTCATTGACTTCTACCTGGCTCAAATAACAAAAGTAAGTAAGTATCTGTTTATCACACTCTTCCTTACTTGGCTTCAATGCCTACTACAAACACTTGCTGTTTCAGTAACTGCCAAAGGATCTTTACATGCACACTTTGTGTAGCACCAAAGGTGTTTGATAACAGTGGCCTGCCCACTGTTACCAAACAATGACAGTTTCTATGTGACTGGTGAAATATCTAAAATTATCTCTTTCATAGTCTTCTTGTGAATATACCCTACAGACAAAGGATGACCCTACTTCAACGTTCAATAAAGAAAATATGGTTCAGACAGTGGTTGATCTTTTGCTGGGAGGGACGGAAACAACAAGCACCACCCTTCTCTGGGCACTGCTCTACATGGTACAATACCCAGAAATACAAGGTGAGCAAAAGC